ACAAAAAATAATTAAATCTTTAAACACACACACACACACATTTTTAGAGAAAACTGCATGGAAGTTATGTTCTTTGAAAAACTAAGACCAGACCTACTGTGTGATGTAGCTATCCCCGTAACCAGGTATATCACACAAATAAATGTAATTAGTACAACAAAGAAATGCCCATATTCTTGTGTTTATTGCAGCATGATACTCGAGGTACGGATTTAACTCAGATGTCTGTCTTCAGATGAATGGCTAAATAAAATGTGGTGTATTTATACAGAATACAATATTCTGCATCTGGAGAAACATGCAGCAACACATATGAAACTGGAGGACACTGTGCTAAGTTAAAGAAAGAAAGAAAGAAAGAAAGAAAGAAAGAAAGAAAGAAAGAAAGAAAGAAAGAAACTCTAGCACACAACGGCAAATACTTGAAGTTCCTCTTAGATTTGGAAACTGAATATTGATATCACAGAAGTGGAGATACAGACGGTGGGAGGGGAGAAGACAGTGGGGGTGTTAAATGTATTCATAAGTACAGCCTGCTAAGAGCAGTAACTGTGCTGTAGCACTGTAGGAAAACTAGGATTCGCAACTGACTACATTTTTGGAAATAGATAATAGAGGGGATTTTGAATGGTCTCAGTGCATACACAAATGTTCTCTGATGGTCTCTACCTAATCTTACCTGCATAAACAGTGTCTGTGGGCCTATATACCACACAATAGTCCACAAATGTACACTCGCTGTGTCAATTAAAATTAAAAATGTACTTTTAAAAGAAAGAAAATAAGAAGCAAGTATAAAATGCCACCATCCAAATGCAATCCCAGTGAGCCTATAGAAAACTCTAGAAGTCCAGCTTCTAAACTTTTTGCTCAGAGTTCAAAAACAAAAAGGAACTACAAATGAGCGAGGGAACTAAAATCTGAGGGAAAAGAGAGTTGAGTCGCACACAATTACTCCTCTGCTTGTTCTTTATTCTTCTTTTACGGACTTTCTTGTTGTTCTGTCTCTCTCCATTTCTTTGTCTCTACAATTCTCTGTTTCATTTTCCCTGTAACTCTCCCCAGTTTGGGGGGGATACAGATATATATATATATATATATATATATATATATATATATACATATATACATTTGTAACAGTAACTCTCTTTACAGTACAATATGAGGCTTAAGTTTCTCAAGGTCAGCAAGGCAGATACGATTTACATACAGAACAATAAGCTAAAACTGCTAGGAGAAACTCTTAGCATCAGTCACTTAGGGCTGTAGGTCAGAGAGAGGGTCTAGGATGTTCTGGCCTCAGTGGCAACACAGGCCTTCAGGAAAGTTGACTTTTCCCTGAGGATGAGCAAATGGGATGATTACCTTTGTCTTTATCATCTCAGAGGAAACAGGAGGGAGCAGTAAATCTCTGAGCTAGAATCTTGAGTTAATACAACAAGAAGTTTGAGAATCTTTTAGTGTAGGCTTAGTTTAAATTATCATTTCTCTATTTGCCAATGATGTAAAGCCAAGGGTGTGCTTATTTTTTTCTATCCATCTAGGCAGCTATGAATCAACAACTTTGGACGTATAGTAATTCTATGTCCTTAGATATTTGGGAATGTCTTAGATGGGATGCTTTCACCTGGGCCCTAAACACTGACCAAATACCTGTCAATGCAGATAACTGCAGGAAGACAGATGTACAATTACAATGGAGAGGGGAACAAGAACCTGATAGTGAGAAACAGGTCTCGTACATAGCTAAGTAATATAATCAGTAAACTAGGACCTGTTAATGGAGAACAGGTAGTTACACATAGCTAGGGAATGTAATCAGTAAAACTTCAAATGCATAGGAGAAATTTGTCCTCAGGAAATGATCGGATAGTGCTAAACTGTGAGAAGTAAATTCTAATTTTGTTACAGAAAGGAATAAGTTACAGGAAGAATCTACAGGAAAACAAAAACAAAAAAAAACAACCAATTCATTCATGAGATTATATGCTTTTGTACTGGTTTCATCCATCAGAAGAATTCTTAATTCTTCTATTCTTCTGAATTACCTCATGATATGCTGGCTGTATAATCACTGTGTGATTTTGCGATTTGTAGCATGAACCCTCACTTTTTTTTTCCACTTCAACTTAGTAGCATACATTTTCACATATTTCAGTTACCTTGGCATGAGTTTGCAATCCTGGTTGCTATCTTGAAAGATAAATGATTTTCTTAATGGAAAATTCTTTGTGTAAATCAAATGAATAAGCATTATTTCAAACTCAATCCAAGAATGTGGCTTACACTAAACCCACCAACTTGTGAACACCAGGGTCAGACTTGTGAAGGGAGTATAACCCAAAGCTCTCAAGGAATCTGTCACTCAAGGTAGTTCCCAGGACAGGGACAGCAGCATTTCCTGAGAGGCTGACAAAAATGTACAGACTCAGGGATAGGATGTACCTCAGTGTGGAGCACTCACCTAGCTGCGGGTTCAGTCTCGTCTCTCACAAAAAAAGAAAAAAGAAATGCAAAACTCCCGGCTTCTCCCCTGAACTGCTCAGTCAAATTGTGGAGATGAGACACAAGGATCCTCAGGGGCATGCCAGGCTAGACACGTATGCACAAACTGGAGGCACACTGAAAGCAGTCCTCTGGTGAACACTGTTTGCATAGATCACTTTGGTCTGTTTATTTGTTTTTGTTTGCTTTCAATAGCTGATTTATTTCTATTTTTATGTACATTAGTGTTTTGCCTGCATGTTTGTCTGTGTGAGGGTATTGAATCCCCTGAAGGTAGTTACAGGCAGTTGTAAGATGATGTGTAGGTGCTGAGAATTGAATCCAGGTCCTCTAGAAGAACACCCGATTCTCTCGACTGCTGAGTCATCTCTCCAGCCCCATTTGTTTGTTTGGTTTCAAGATGGGGCTCACCCTACAGCCTAGGCTGGTCTAGAACTCACAGCAGCATTTCTGTCCCAGCTGCTCGAGTGCTGGGATTATGGAATGAGATACCATGTCTAGCGGTTACCTAAAAGAGTCTCTCTCTCTCTCTCTCTCTCTCTCTCTCTCTCTCTCTCTCTCTCTCTCTGTGTGTGTGTGTGTGTGTGTGTGTGTGTGCACGCACATGTGTGTGTGTGTGTGTGTGTGTGTGTACAAACATGGGTTTGTGTGCTGTATATACATATGTGTATGTTTGTTCATGTGCAAGCCAGAGGTCAGCACCTCTCCATCATCTTCCTCTAGCCCTCTCCATCAGCTTCCTCTACTCCTCTCCATCATCTTCCTCTAGCCCTTTTCATCAGCTTCCTCTAGCCTTCTCCATCAGCTTCCTCTAGTCCTCTTCATCAGCTTCCTCTAGTCCTCTCCATCATCTTCCTCTAGCCCTCTCCATAATCTTCCTCTACTCCTCTCCATCAGCTTCCTCTAGTCCTCTCAATCAGCTTCCTCTAGTCCTATTCATCAGCTTCCTCTAGTCCTTATTGTGAGACACTATCTTGCTGAACCTGGAGCATCAATTCAGCTAGACTAGCTAGCCAGCAAGCCCCAGGGACCCTCCTACCTCTGTCACCCCACTGCTCCAGCACTAGATCATGGTACAAACCACCATGCCCAGTTTGTATGTCCCTTCTGGGCATGGAGCTCAAGTCCCTGTGTTCATTTAGCAAGAATTTTACATCTCCCCAGTCCTGTCTGCCTAATTTTTAGCATCAATATTGCAGAGTCCAGAAGGCATGGTGTGGGCATGAAGAGACATGTGAGCCACTAGTTCTCTGCCCCTGCTGTATATTGGAAACATCCGGAAGCTGTAGGCAGTCCTTCAAGCAATGTCACTGCTTTGGTATGGGGGGGTTGGCATAGCGATAATATAAAAATCACCCAGTAATGCAGACAAGTGGTGATGGTAAGAGTCATATACACTCATATGTGGTGAACAGGAACAGGAAGTGGGTCCTTATATTGATTCTAACCTTCCCTGTTGGGCAGAATCCACAAGAACTGGCTCTGGGAGTAATGTTACTGCACCATAATGAACACTTCCATTTATTCTCTGTTAGGAACTCTCCCTAGTGTCACTCTAGCATGTCTAGACTTGAGTATCTTCAAGGGTCCAATGCAGATGGCAAGAGCCAATATCCAGAATGACTTGGGGAATTTCTTATCACAATATGTGGAGATCCCTAATAGTTTGCCAAACGTAAATTCAGTCTTCAAATTCTTTGAGCCAAAGGAAGCTGTTTTCTCTTTTCCCTTCTCCCCTGCTAATAGGTGACTCAATAGAGTAAAAGTGAGCCAGTGTGCAGTGGTCTCTTCCTCCACATACCAAGGATGTCAATAAAGTGTGAAAACTAAAAAACCTGTTGGCGTGTGAATTCACTTACATAATCCCATTTCAGTCTCACAGCATCTTGAATGAATAAAATGAGATGATTCTTATTGTTTCCATTTCAAAGATGGCAGGAGAGTGGCTTGTAGAGGTTCCTGCTCACCCAGACACAAGATGGACAGGGGTTGCAAGATACCCCCACTGCCTTCTAGCCTGAACCGTTCTCAGCTACACAAACGGCTGCTGAGGGCTGCATGCTTCATCTAGACTGTCTATCACAGCACAGTCTTCTGTAGAGATACAAATGATGCAGGTGGCTGTTGGGTACTGGACCGCAACCAGTGGCAGGCACTCACCTGTTATCCCAGCACTCAGGAAGCCAATCTGGGAGTACCCATGAGTTTGAGAGCAGGTTGGGCTCCATATCGAGATTCTATCTCAAATAAATAAATTAATTCAATAATAAAATAAATTTACAGTGTACGAGAAAGCACCGTGACAAAGGATCCTCCCCAAATGTTCTGTAGTGGAATGGAGTCACACAGCTCCTTAGTTTGCCCCTGGGGAAGAGGGATCGATGAAGGAGTGGCTGAGAGTCTTCTTGGCATGACTAACTACTGTTTCTCTCGCCCTCTTCTCTCTTTATTTATTTTATTTTATTTGAATTTTTTTTCCGTACCATTTTGTACAGGAGCCAATGCATCGGCCCCAGACCAACTGAGCTTAGCTTTAGCCTGGAACAGAGTTGACATCGCTCGCAGCCAGATCTTTATTTACGGGCAACAGTGGCCGGTAGAGTATACATCGTTACCAATGAAAAGCTCACGTGCTTGGCAATGGTCTTTAAGGAACCTTTGAAAGAGGCTCAAAAATTGGGGCTCGGTGGGAGGGGGAGGAGAGATCACCCTTACCACCGCTTGTGGCCTGGGCGCCCTTCTCGTGTTTGAAGACATGCTGCCACCTAGTGGAAGATAAGATATAACTAAGCCCACCACCAAACGTTCCCTGGCTCTTCTCAGCGATTTTCCAGTGCAAGTCCTATCTTTTTATTCTATCTTTAAAGATACAGATAAGACAGAGTTAAAATAAAGGAAGGAGAGGATTTGAATGTTTCTGGATATCTTTTAGGAGAGCAGAAGGAGGAAGCTGTTGCCGCCAAATGGTGGCATTCATGCTGGTTTGCAACTGGGCCAGGCCTCTGTGTGCAGGTACCATCTGGTCCTGGTGGCTGAGCACAGGTCTGCCCCTATGCCCGGCACAAGCAAACTAAAGCTTTATATAACTGTCCGTGGCTTTCTTTTGTCGCGTGGCTGCCAAAAATAAGAACTTGGGAAATGGGCCATTGGGTGATGTGCGCACATACCCACGGGTGGCAGCCTGGAACTAAGGCTCTCTGAACCTTCCATCCCCAGGAGGTCTGGCCACAACTGAGCACCTGTCTTCACAGGGTTCAGAGACTGCTAGCTTGGGGTGTATTTGTCAAGGAATCTAGACATTGGAAAAAAATAAAAACTGTAGAAGGAATACAAATCCCTGCCAGTATTCCATCTAGAAAATACATTGTTCTTTTAGTTAAGGCCCCAGTTTGCCTCTGGGGTGTCTATTTCTACACAGATCCCAAGCCTATTGGACTTTGGGCTCTGTTTACCTGGGTTCCTATCCTCGAGTCAGCCAAGACTTTCATTCAGAACCTAAGGAAGAAGAAAATGAAGGCAGGGAAATATCTAGGATTACCTCTACAGCCATTGCAGAAAACTAACCAGGGAATCAGAAGGAAAGCCTGGGGTCCCAAGGCTCCACAACATAAAAGGGATGGGGGTAGCTTCTAGATACGGAAGTCCTTGACTCTGTTTCCCAAGACATGAGCCTAGGGGACCAGGAGTGGCATGTGGAGGGGGAGTGCAGGTGCCGGGTCTCTCCGGCATATTTGCGCATGTTCCCAATCTGTTCCAAGCCCTCTGGGTGAGCATGAGGAATGACACCTCTCTGCTGGGGGCAGACTAATTGAGTGTCTTGAATTACAGGTAGGGTCCCTGGAGCAAGCCATGCTGGATGCCCTGGTTCTGGACAGAGTGGATTTTGTGAAATTACTCATAGAGAATGGAGTAAGCATGCACCGTTTTCTCACCATCTCCAGACTAGAGGAACTGTACAACACGGTAGGGCCAAGCTAAGATGCCTTCCAGCTTTTTTTTTTTTTTTCTTCTTCTTCTTCTTCTTCATCTCTTTGTTTACCTTCTCCTGTTTTGCCCCTAAGCCTGCGGATCTTTCCTGTCTCTCCTGTACTGCATGGATTGTCCCTCACATGCACCCCCTTACACCTGGGTAGGCGACAGACACCAAGTCACCAGGACTTTACTTGTTTTAAATGCTCAGTTGTGGCACCTTAGGCAAAAAGGGATGTGATCACCCGAGGGCCTTGTTCTCAGATTCTAACACAAAACCACCAGCAAGTCTCTGTCAGTCAGAACACGTGTACTATGTAAGCCCAGGGGTGTCTGAGACAAATATTACATAGGAGGCCTGGTTTAGCACCAAGCACCAAAGCAGGCTGATTAAGTATCCTGTGTCATTTTCTCATCCTCAGAGCAATGAAGCTCACTTCTCCCAGGATAGTATACAATATCTTGGAGTCGTCCAAACATGTTTTGTGGTGGTTGTTGTTCTTTGGAGTGGCATTCACCAAAAGAGCCAGCCAAGTTTAAAGAACTGATGCTGTTTTTTACCATTTCACAGATGAGAAAACTGAGACTGTCTTTAGCCTATTTGTGCTGCTACAACAGAATGCCTGAGGCTGGGTAATGTGTATAAAGAGCATATATTTCTTTCTCACAATTGCTGGAGGCTGGAAGTCAAGATCAAGGGGCCAGGAGGTTCATTATGCAGTGAGAACCATGCTCTCTTTCCAGAATGTATCCACTGCAAGGGACAAACGCTGTCCTCTTAAGACCATAATCCCACTTACAAAGTACATACCCTTGTGACCATCACCAACAGCCCCACCTTTCCACGCTTCTGTACTGACACGAAGCTCAACATGAATTTTTTAGAGTCACAGAGGTGTAAAGCATAGACAGGGGCTAAGAAGTAGTTTATTGAAGGTACTACACCTCTGAACAACAGCAACAAAAAGAATCCGGTACCAAACTCAAGCCTCTTCTCAGAAGTTTCCTTTCCATGCACTGGCCACAATGTTTGTCCCAGCACCGTGAGTGCAATGGGACAGAGCTATGGACTGTTCCTCAACAAGAGGTAGGTGATAGATAATAGCATCGTGCTTCACCTCAATAGCATCCCCATTAGCAGAAGGAAGCCAGCTGGCAGAGTGGATCCAGGTTTCTGTTTTCTCTGCAAGCTTGCCTTGCCTTGACACACTGAGATTTACAGTGAGAAATAAATAGATGTGGGCATCAGTTAGAGAGTGATGGTGGTGGAAAGGTTTATTCCAAATCCTAAATAAAGAAGGAAAGAATGAGAGAACCCTGTTCCTGGAATTTAGACCAACAGGCTTCATTACTATGATCAATTGGTGATGGTCACCTGCAGTACTGTGTTGAGAAAAATTATGAGTCAGCAATGGCAACAATAATAATACTGGTATCTATCACTTACTAAATGCCAAGCACTATTTAATAGCCTTTTAAAGAAGTATTGTGTCACTTAACCCTTAAATAGCCCTACCAGATGAAGTGGTGTTATTCTCTTCATTGTGATGAGGAGAGACTGCATCACAGCAAACTCTGTGATGCCTATATACTCAATTAGGGTTAGGATCAAGAACCTCAGCCCCAGAGCATCATCACTGATTTAGAACTTCAGCACAACAGCAACATTTGGGTTTCAGATAAGCAATGATTGTTCTTCATAGGATTCATTCTAGGAGTTACCACAGAAGAAAAGAAATGCCTTAGAATGCTCAACTTCCTCATCTAAATGACATCAGATGTGCATTGACTGTACACACATCATCTGATATATCTTTTTTTTTAAGTATCCACTTTCTGGAAGCTAAATAATAAAGCAGCTAAACCAGGAACTTGGCACACTCATGTACAATCCCCAATAAAAGATAAATAAATAGTTATTAGCCTGTATCTTCCAAGGCAGTATTTCCAACCTGTGGGCCATGACCCCTATAGGGTTACATATCAGATATTTACATCGTGATTAATAACAGTATCAAAATTTTAGTTAGAAAGTAGCAACAAAATAATGTTATTGCTTGGAGTCACCACAACCTGAAGAACTGTATTAAAAGGTCATAGCATTAGGGTAGTTGAGAGGCACTATTTCTAAGAAATGCTAAGAAAAATACCTGCACATACTCAACACACACATAATTTCCCCCAAATAGTTTCAATCCAGTTGGAGGATTTCCAAAATACAGACATCATGAGTATGGAGGACTGACTATCTATTCCCAGTATTGCATGAGGCATCATTGCTCATCTGAAATTCAAATTAGGTTGGGTTTCTGTCCTTTACTTAGCATCCCTACTCCTGAGAGATTGCAGAATAACAAATCATCTACTTTATTCTAAGCCTCCATGCATGCATTCCCTTTCCTGACCTCTTTTTGCCAGGCTATCTTAAGTCAGATGTCATGGAGCTATCACCAAAATATAAGGCCAGTCCACTATTTCTGTACAGCCTGGGTGCCAAGGGTGACTTTCTTTAACATTTAATGGTTGAAACAACCAAAGGAAGCCACAATACTCTATGACATGTTTAAATTGATGAAATCTGGCCAGATGGAATAACAGCTATGCATAATCCCAGAACTCAGAAGGCTGAGGCAGGAGGCCTGAGGTTTGAGGCCAGCTGGGATTGTACAGCAAAACCCTCTCCTAAAAACATTATATGAAATTTGATTTTCTGTGACTATGAATAAAGTTTTATTGAAAAATAGCCAAGATCACTTATTTACGTATAGCCTGTAGCTGCTGCTTTCATACAGTAATAACAGCTAAACAGATATGAGAAAAACTACAGAGTCTACAAGCATTCACTACTGGCCTTTGGCAGAGAAAGTTGGCCAGTGCTTATCTGAGACAAGTTTTTGTTGACAACTTGGAAAACTACATAGAATAAAATTAAGAAATTTCTATGGCAGTGTGTCAAAAACTCCTCTGCTTTGTCTTGCTGTAAAATTAGCTCTTTCTATACCATTTGGCCCTTGTATCTCTTAGTTGACAATCAGCCTTACAATACTTGAACTTACAACTTCAAACACATTTTTCTGGAGAACATGTGATCCAAAATCCAGCCAGTCTTGGTTTCAAAGTGACAGACACAACTGAGCAACTAGAACAAGGCCCTGCGCTGCACTAGCCAGAACCCTTCCTTCCAGCTCCCTCTTGCCTCACCACCCACAGCCCCTGACAAGCAAAACTGTTTGATTGTTCTTTATCGTTTTCAGAGACATGGGCCCTCAAATACATTGTACCACTTGGTCAGGGATGTCAAAAAGGTAAGAATCCTCTAGACCACAGGTCAGAGGCCCTGTTCTGAGTGCTTCCTGTGATAGACTATACCTGTTATGCATGAGCTGCCCAGTCTCCATGTCCCTGCCAGTACCCCCCTCCCCATCATTGCAGAGCGGTGTATGTGCATCTGCTTTGTGGCTTGGAAAGTTCTGCTGACAATGCTGCTATGGTCCTTCTTCCGGTTGCCATGGATTTAGATGCTTTCATTGGATGTAGTGCTTTTCTATAGCAAATTCTAGGCTTTCTCTCATGCCAACGTGGATTTATGTCATTACTTATGTCTTCTCAAATGCCCCTTACTGTTGGGGTATTAGTTTCCATGGTAGCTGATCACATGAGTGCCTTCCTGCCAGCTCCTCAGAACATCCTATCTACCTTCATATAAGATAGTTAGAAGCTGAGGAAAGGGGACTGCACTATGCATTACATCCTCCTAACACTTTATTTTTCCAAAATATATTTTATGCCCATCTATTCATTAATTTTTTTAAAGATGGTGGGTTATTCACAATTTATGGAGGAAGTTGAAGGGTAAGGATGTGATGACTATATTCATTAGTAACTTGCTAACTTGCTAACATCACCACAGATCTTGTACCAAGGAAAAGCGTCAATGGCTGAGGCTTCCTGGTGATGGATACACAGCATTAGACAGACTTTAAGCTCTTCATGAAATATTTCTGACGTAGGATTATAATGTCTTTATTACTGTTGCATAACATTCTCATTTCAAGTTGAACACAGGAAGGTTATGCTTAACCTTAGCACATACTTGCTCCTTTGCCACAAACAGTCTCTTTTAAGAGTATCTTGACTTCAGACCCTTTAACTCCAAAGAACAAAACAGAAATTGTAGACCTTCCCCCACCTCATAGGAATGCTACAGTACTACACCAGAACCCGAGGACATACTTCAAGAAATGACTTGGACCAGCAGGTTGATATTTAATGCCAGATTCCAGAGAGGGAGTACCATAGGATCAGAAAACAAAGAAGCTAGGAAAGTTGGGATCAGGGAGTCTTGCACAAGCTATGTCAAATGCTAAGTAAGCTAATTGAGAAGTACTGCACCTTATATGCAGCCTGTGGGAAAACAAAGAGAGTCAGCAGAAACCTATCACACAATGGACAGTGTCAGGAAGAAGCTGATCAAGCAACGCTGCCCAAAGGAAACAGTGGCTAATTCAAATGCACCATGGCTCAGCAGCCTTGACTGATCACCACAGCCCTTCAAAGGAGGGGAAGGAGGGAGTTTTCCCAGGATCAGAAACCTCAATTCTCCCAGAGCCCTGGCCCCAGGTCATTGCTGGCCTTGCTAAGCATGTTCCTGTTTTTAGACAAGGAACTAAGTTTCTTTTCCATACCTGGGCTTGTTTGATACTCAGCTGAAAAGAACTGGACAAGTGTATCAACTCATAGAAAGTCCCAACTAGACGACCCTTAGTGAACTGTAAGCAACTTTTGACATTGTCTTCAAAGTGCTGGAGGCCCTGGGGGCTGCTTATAATTAGTCCGTTTTAACCTGCTGGACGTTAGTTAGGAATAAGTAAAGGATATAAGAACAAAAACAAAATCCACATCCACCTAAAAACACTTCTTTTTTTTTTTTCTTCCTTCCATCTCCACCCAATAATGATGTCCAGCTTTGTGAGCAAAGCCTGTAGCTCTTGACATGGAGAGAAGCAGACCCTGTGCAGCTTGTCTACCCCGATCACTGCTTTACTGAGATCCCGGTTTTCCTCAGTCTGTCCCACTCCAAACCAATACAGCATCTGTGTCTCCAGCAAACGTTCTCCTCTGGCTTAATTTATCCTGGCTTAAATTTCTCTGGAAACTAATCTCAGATGATTAGGGTCCCACATACTCAAGATATTCCTTACTAAACTTTGACTCTCATGTTCTATAAATTATTTTGGACATTTATATAATAATAAATATGACAGCATTTCCTCACCTCAGACTAATCTGTGTCCAGCTAGAACGCGGGGCTTTCTGATAATGTAGCTAGGCTTTGGCCCCAGATCCCAGCTATCAGCCAACCCCAGCAATGGAAAAGTCATATATTCCCTTTCCCGGCAGTAAGATCTTGCCTGGTTTTCAAGGAGATTGTTGAAGTTATAGTTCTTTGCATATAAATTATCAGGATCTCCCATATTAGCTTCTCCTCTCCTAGATTTCCACTTTGCAAGATCACTATCTGCTAGCTGAAGGTCCTTGAGCTGCCTCTTGCATTTGTTTATAATGAGAGTCTTATTAGAAGGCATGCAGTGCATCCTTGGGGTACTTTCTTCCCTTTTTCAAAGCTTCTTGGCTGTTAATGAGCCTTGAAAATGATAGAGATTAATAAGAAAAGGGTGCTAAGAACGTGGAAGGAAGGCCTGTTAGCTCAGAGGAGGCCTTTAAGAGTGACCAGAATAACAGAATAAGAGGATAGTCACTCGTTTACTTAGGGACTGTGGGGAATGACTTTAAAACTCACCCAGAATAGCACTGAACTGGCCTAGAAACAGTTTCTCTTTTTACTTGGAGAGCTGCTAGTAAGAGGAGGGCAAAGACAATGCCTGTGGTTTTAGTTTTCCTGGAAAAAGTACAAACAGGGAATGAAGACTTGTCTCTCTGATAAGGGGAACCTCTGGCTATTGGAGGAAAGGAATGAATAGCCTTCCCACCCACCCCCAAAAACACAGATGTATCAACAGTTTATATTTATGTGTGAAATGGGCTGACAATGGGACTCTTTGTTGTATGTTTCTCAAAGAAATTAAAATGTGGGTACAAATTTCCTCCATGGTCCCAGATGGCTTTCTCTAATTTAGGCAAAGTTCTTACTCAGGAGATTCGAAATCTGGGTTTAAAATGCTAGAATGTCTTGGGACAGTTAATTTTTAAAATTAAGGAATATAATAAGTGCCTCCTTCCTAACAGGGATATATATTATTCTGTAAAAGTTGTAACCAGTAGTCATAATTAACACATATACAGTTTTGTCCATGAGTTAGAAACATAGTTCTGAACCTTAAGCAAAGTATTTACTGAGATGTTGCTAAATTAAATGTAAATGATGCCTACAAACCCAAGGACACATTTCATCATTATCAGATCGCCATGAGCCAATCAGGTCATCTGCAAGCCCCACTGTTCTTTGAAAACAGCAGAAATGAGTGAGGAGAAATGCTTCCAAGCTACTCTCAAGATCTCAAATTCTTTTATATCTAGAGAACAAGCTACAAGTAGTGTGGTAAAGATTGCTATTCTCCGTCCAGCAGAAGTTTGAACTAATACAAACCAAACCAATTCAGGGAAACAGTTTCATGCATAAATCCATCGACTATACTCATGGCTTTTCTATTAAACTAGTGGCTCAAGTCTGTCTGCACTTCCATAAAATATAACCTTCCGTTTTAGTAGCTGTCTGCTCAATCTGTGGCTCCGGATGTTTCAAGCAGTGGTTTCTCTTTCTTCAATTAAAATGTGCTAATACTTCAGATTATCTGTGCTGTCTTTCACCACCAGAGGAGGGTGATTTGAGTAGAATACAGAGGCCAGGGTGAAATTAAGGTTTAAAGTTCATTTACATGGGAGCAAAGACCTAGTTTTGCTGAATTCAAGAGAAAGGGGGAAAGAAAGAAGAGGGGAGAGATGGAGGGAGGGAGAGAGAAAGAGAGGGAGGGAGGAAGGAAGGGAGGGAGGGAAGGAAGGAAGGAAAAAAGGAAGGAAGGAAGGGAGGGAGGGAGGGAGGGAGGGAGGGAGGGAGGGAGGGAGGGAGGAGAGAATGGAAGAAAGGGAGGGAGGGAAGGGAAAGCTTTTTGAAACTTTGGGTAAGGAAAGGAGATTTTCATAAGCCCATATAATAAATTCATGCAAATTTGTAGGCGCATTCTTATTTTTAAAATGATCAATTGCCTGGTTTTCACTTTGCCAGTCTACTAAACCATGGGTAACCTCCTTTCTTCCCAACTGCTCCCCAGACTGAGCCCCACCCAATAACTGTTTTTCCCCATCAAGCCTGTTCCCTAAGTCTCTTCCACACTCTCCTTTGGTGAATCTGAAAATCAGCAATCATTTGAGACTTTCCACACCCCAGAGGAAACAAGCCTTTTATCAAGGCTTGTTATGAGTTTCAAAGGAAAAAAAAAAATCAGTGTACCTAAACAGCTCAAATCAGACAGCCATACCATGAGCTGACACCTAAGGACAGTTCATTTTGAAGAGCAGATTCAACTTTTGAGTTTGAACTTCCCTCAAGGACATCTTTAAGCATGGCATGACTTAAATTTTACCTTCAAGTAACAGTTCATGGCATGAAAACAACATTTTCAAGTTGTCAACCTACCTCCCAATCCTCTCTTAAGTCACTTGACTCTCAGGACCTACCCTGTGTTGTTAAGGCATGAAATGGGGAATTTTTCTTGAGGCTCTGGCATCATCAAAGTCATGACCCACATGGTGGGGGCAGGACTAGGAACAGAAGACAGAGTAAGAATGACTCTAGTATCATTTTCTTGAATTCCAATTTGGAAAGATCCAACGCAAAGGAAGACTCCTCCAGAGGCTGTTGTCACAACCTGTTGGGCATTCAAGGTGCCACTCATCCTCTCTCCTCCTCCAGAGCAGGTGAAGTGAAAACACAGGTCCATCCACGTCAGTTCTGTGACCACCCCCAACCCCACACATCAAACTCCAGGGGACACCAACCCCCAGAGCTCTGCACAATGATCTTTTCCCAATAAGGGGAGTAGAAAATAAAAGCAGGGCACTGATTAACAGTTGGGCTTCTAGAAACAGGTGGGACCCGAGGAGCAATGGCCAAGGTCACCTAATTTTAGAGCATAAAGTGAGATATAGAAAATGATAGAGAGTCACATAGGGTTGCACTAACAGAGGCTAGCCCAGTACTGTTTGTCCTGGGGACTCATTTCTCTGGTCTTTCTTAGCATAAATACCTGCAACTCTCCTGCCCAACAATTATGTCCTAGGATAAGCAATGTAGATGCTTCATCATTGATGTGTACAGACCAGACCAAGTCAAGGCCATCATTCTCATCATGCAGCAAGGCTGCCATTACCTTCAGAGTCTACCCAAGACACAGTTACCCCAACCAGAAGTGACAAAGAATGTGTAGCTACTTAATTTTGTTACTGAGAACATAACACACACATACACACACACAAACCCAACCCAGGCCGTATCCCAGCCATGCCAATTAATTTCATTGTTTCACTGATACATATTTTCAACAGCAAAAATCCCAAGAACCAACCACACCTCACATGTTATAAAAGGCAGAGGAAGCATAAAAATAAAAAATTTCAAGAAAAAAATTTAAAACTATAGCTTTAGTGACAGGCTACACTGAAGCCTCCTTTAACCAATTAAATGGATTTCCTACTAACACAGATTTCCCTATCACAGTCTGGAGATCCCTAGGTGGACTAGATTGCCACCTGAGCCTTACATGGTAGAGAAGAGGTTCCACAAATCCAGGCTTGCATCAGAAGCCACCCAGAGGAGGCAATGAGGGACACAGATGTCCAACACACTGGATGAGGCAGGATACAATCCAGACCACATAGTCTCCGGATTCCCCACAGTGTATGTGCTGTGAGCCATCACTGGCAGAGGATGTTGTCCTGCATCCAGAGTTGAGCCAGCCAATGAGAGCTGCTGGTCATCTATGCCCTCTAGAATTCACTGTGTATCCCTATCCCTTCTTCCTTGACTTAACAGAATAGAGAGTTTCCTTGGGCTCAAAAAGTCCTCTTTTGAATCATCTTTATAAACAAATCCCTGTGTTCCAGCCCTCGAACCAGCACTCAAAAGGAAAAAAATGTAATAAAGACTAAAAGATACACCATACTTCTGGCAGGAGGATCTCTGTAAATTCAAGACCAGCCTGGTCTACAAGAAATGTTACTCTGGCTGGAGGTGTGCCTCAGTATTAAAATTCCTACTTAGTATATACAAAGTCCTGGGATCCATCCTAAAACTGTGCCCTCCCCCCCAGCCAAACAAACCTATTTAACAACAAAAACCTACCCTAATTTTGTGAAAGTTTTAATTCCAATGTTAAAAATTTCTTCTCCTGTTACACTTACACACACACACACACACACACACACACACACACACACTTTAAGCAGAAGGGACACTCATACAGCTCTGGTTCTGACACTATGAAATTCGTCCCTGATCCGTTATTTATTGGGGGTTAGGGGAGGGCCAGTGCATGTGACCAGATAACAGAGGTCTTGTGTCCAAGTAGAATTCATCTCTAAGTGGTCCCCGCCCTGGTAATGAATGACTCTCATCTTCTGAAAGGAGTCTTCCTTGGGTGAGTGGGGAGAAAACAAAGAGCCTGCAAGAGGCAGCCTGGGTCAGGCAGGGGTTCAGTAGCTTCAGGGGACCCTGCATCTAGAAGCTGGGAATGATAGCCCTTGCCTTGCCTAGCCTGTGTTTCTTTCTGCTACACTGGTGTTTTTTTCTCCCCAGCTGAAGACTTGAATAAATAATTTGATTTTCTGTTATTGCCGGCGATTACCGCATCTTCTTATTTAACTTATGTCTTCTTTCCAAGCGAGAGTATCCAGGTTTCGGTTGGATCTATTTTAAGGTGAATTAATTAACCAGCATAATAATACATTCATGTTTCTTTTTTCATTATAATTTTTACTCTAAAATAGTTACAGAACACTTGCCAATGAACCCCTAGTAAACCACGCCGTCTTTTTGGGTTTGTCTGTTGTTCCCTTCGTCCCCAATAGGGAAACTTGCCCCCGGACTACAGAATCAGCCTCATAGACATTGGCCTGGTGATTGAGTACCTGATGGGCGGGGCTTACCGCTGCAACTACACGCGCAAGCGCTTCCGGACCCTGTACCACAATCTGTTTGGCCCCAAAAGGGTGAGCTTCTAGCATGTTCTTAGTCTGTGTTGGGGAAGACTAGGGACAAGAAATTTGGGATATGGCTTCTGTCTCCAAAGGAAAACAAATTGAAAAGACAGAAAGTACACCTCCCTCTTTTCCCATCCAAACTACTGTAATTTATTATTAAATTTAAAATACTGGTCAAACAAAAATCTATCTGTTGTTTTCTTTGAGGTAACAGTCTCACTTTGGTCATCCTAAAAATGTCTGTCTAGTGTTGCAGTCTAAAGATTACAGTCTCTCAGCTGGTCTTTCCTTCAAATAAAAAAGATTCTTCCATTGGAGAGACAGGCTTTTTTTTTTTTTTTTTTTTTTTTTATTTTGCATTTTTATGTCTGCAATTCAATGGCATCAAAACATGTACTTTTCCTCGGAAATCTCTTTGGGTCAGTCTGTGGCAAAAGTGATCCAGGTAGGGACAGCTTCCACTTCATATACTCCACAGGCTGGTAACAGGGCATGTCTAGGACGTGCCCTCATGAACCGCTTTAGCCAAAGACTGCAATGTTTACATCTTGAGGATATTCTTAAGTGAAGTTGTTTTGTGTTTTTGTTGTTTGGTTGTTTGGTTTGTTGGTGTTTGATTGGTTCGTTGTATGCCTAGCAGTGGGATCTAGAACAGTAGCCAGGCTGCTGCATGGCCTCTGTTGCTGTCAAGCTTAGGCCCCCACAGCTTGGGCTGCTGGGACTTTCATGAACACAGTGGAATCTCAAAGGCCTGTTATTACTATAAATATAGTGTGGGCTTCACTTCCTGAGGGGCTGCAGGACCATTAGGACCCCAGAATGACATCCCGAGAGCTGCTGTCTGTGCTGGTAGTGGCATGACATTTCTTTCTTTTTTCTCTCTTTTTAATAATGTCTATGATTTTCTTAATGTTTGGGTTTTGTGATGTGATTTTTACCTTTATTTTATGTAGTTTTTGTTTTTCTAGGGGTTTGTTTGTTTGTTTTTAACAAATTTTTCCACTGATGAAAGTGGGGCTATTAGAAAACCAGGAGAGGGGGAACAAAAAAAGTTTAAATAATGACAAAAAGTTTAGACTTATGGTCATTTAGAAGCCAACAGAGAAAGGGGAGAGACAGCTTCAAGCTACTCCAACTTATATAATTACATCTAATTTGCAGGAACTGTCAGCTCATAATTCTTATGTCCCCAGTAGCTTCCAAAGTGACACCCACTGCTCTGGTGCACTTAGAACACAGGGTCGGTACTCCTGGCTGGCCTACAGGTGTAATTTTGTTCGCCTGTTCTTAAAACAAAGCAAGTTGTACAATTCCAGAGTGGCCTTCAGATGTGCCCATTTTACACATTCCCAGCATGGCCAAGGAAGCCATTCCCTGTGTGGTGATGTTCTCCATGCCATTGAGCTGCTTGTGCCACCATCAGCACCTGCTCTGGCCCACACACACACACCCTTGCTCTACCCTGCAGCCCTGGAAGACAGTCAGAAAAACCATCTAGAAAATTCGCCAAGTCTCTGCATAGTAGAAGTTCTCCAGAGGTTTGGGAAATACCTGGTTTGACTGGTTGATTGTTTCAGTTTTCATCTGTCTTCTCTGCTCAGACTGCTATAGGCTAAGAGGCTGGCAAGGAACATGAACGTATGTTGCTCACAGCTCTAAGTTCAAGAATGGGGTACCAACAGGCTAAGCATAGACAGAGGACCTGTTTTCTGCTTCATGGCCCTTCCCAGCAGCCTTTTGATAAGGGTTTAGCTTTTTCTCAGGTGTTTTCCAACATGACCAGTCTCCCCCAAATACCCACGCCAATACCAACACCTTCTCAGTTAGAATTTCATCATACGATGAGAATGGATGGGGAGGAGCATTCAGACCATATATTTATTCAAGTGCTAGATGTCCTGGAGGTGCCAAACAAGTAGGACAGTTATAGGAAAGGGAAAGAAATTTTGACTCACAAAAGTCATTTTAAGCCTTCAATTATATCTCTTCAGTTTCCTAATTCGCTGTGGTTCACCAAAATCACAATGTCCCTAATTCTTCTAACTTTAAAAAAAAAATGTTATTTTTATTGTGTTTACTCAGTGACATAAAATTAATGCTATATGGTACTGTAGAATTCTTATATTACTTATTTGCAATATAGTAGAATTCGTTTCTTACCTCAATGAAAGAAAGATCTAACTTTGTTCACAACATTTTTTTAAACAGCCCAAAGCCTTGAAACTGCTGGGAATGGAGGTTAGTGTTTGCTCAAATTATTAGTGTCGATTATTCTCTTTCTCACATATTTAAAAGATATATGAGTTCATTTTAATAGTAAGGCTTAGTGCATGATTCTAAAATAAGTAAATACAGATTTTTCAAGTGCCATGGTGGCAGCTCACAGTAGCTTTTAAAATTCCACAATGAATTTATGTTAGCACTGGGGGAAAACAAAAATAAATAAATCCTAGTATAAATATTAACTTGAAAACAGTGTATAAACTCCATAGGCAAAATCAATTAGAAATATTTACCAACAGCAATAGACTCAAAGAATTTCACAGATGCATCTAATAGGGATGTAAAAACTTGAGCAGTTTTATTCCCATCTTTGGTTCACTGTTTATTGTTGTTATGTGGAAACACAGGTATAGCATATACTTGCTTTTTCAGAAAAAAAAAATAAGAAAAAGAAGCATGCTAATGCTGTCCATTGTGAGATATAGACAGCCACACCTATGGAAGAAGAAACGGATAAAAGTAAACAAACAAAAGAAAGAAAATGGCCTATGAAAATATGCTTGGAATTTTTGAGACAGACTCTCATTATGTAGCCCAGCCTGGCCTCGAACCCTCCATCCTCCTGTTTCTGACTCCAAGGTGTTGCTGGGATTTTAGGGATTCACCACCATGCCCAGCTTAAAAAAATGTTTTGCTTTGTTCTGTTTTGTTTAAAGTAAAGCATAAACTGACATGTTGGTCGTTGAGTATGCATTTATTACATTTTATTTTTAAATTAGCCCAAAGGAGCTTGTGAGTCTTTTGGGGATAAGAACTGGTCTGGTTCATTTCAGTGTGGTTCAGAGCTGAGCCAATGGAAAGTAAAAATAAAGTATCTAATAACGTCTGATTCATTTTCTCTAAATCTGATTTGTTTCTCTAAAACTGCAGGATGACATTCCCTTGAGGAGAGGAAGAAAGACAACTAAGAAGCGTGAAGAAGAGGTAGACATTGACTTGGATGACCCTGAGATCAATCACTTCCCATTCCCCTTCCATGAGCTGATGGTGTGGGCTGTCCTAATGAAGAGGCAGAAGATGGCCCTGTTCTTCTGGCAGCATGGAGAGGAGGCCATGGCCAAAGCCTTGGTAGCCTGCAAGCTCTGCAAAGCCATGGCTCATGAGGCCTCTGAGAATGACATGGTTGATGACATTTCCCAGGAGCTGAATCACAACTCCAGGTTGGCCAACCAGTCATGGGGAGGGTGGGAGAGTGAAGGAAAGGTAGACTCAAAATGCCAGAAGTTTGGGGCTCCCCAAAACCTTCTAGGGTAACAGTCACCCCACTAAGGTACACAGAGGGTGGGCATAAGTAATTTACCCTTACTGTGCACAATGTTGCATAGAGATAGAGAGATTACACTTGCTTCATTCATCCACTCAGCTGCCCCAAGCACCAAGTCATATCATCATGTACTTCATCTAACTAAGGACATCATCTCAGAGAATTTAAGTAACTTGGCCAAGATCATACATGGTTGGCAAGAATAGGGCTTGAACTTGAGTTCTGCCACACTTAATAAGACACACTACACTCTAATGAGTGGTTGATTATTCTGCCTCTACCTTCACATGCCCTGAATCGGGAGTCTTGAGTGCAAGAATCAAGCTTTGACTTACCATCTTCAATGCTAGACATGGTACCTAGCACATAGTGAATACTTAAAGCATGTTGACTGGATGACTTTATGAATAAACTAGACCGTACATGAAATAGCTACTCCATATAGCAAGCTACCTTTTATAAATTTTATAAATTGTTCATGGAAGTCTCCAAGTTGACCTGAAAGACTCTCCTGTGCCTTGTCTTTCAGGGACTTTGGCCAGCTGGCTGTGGAACTCTTGGACCAATCCTACAAGCAGGATGAGCAACTGGCCATGAAACTGCTAACATATGAGTTGAAGAACTGGAGCAATGCCACATGCCTGCAGCTGGCCGTGGCTGCCAAGCACCGTGACTTCATTGCACACACGTGCAGCCAGATGTTGCTTACTGACATGTGGATGGGCCGGCTCCGCATGCGCAAGAACTCAGGCCTCAAGGTCAGCATACCCAAAAAAGATATTGCCATAGGGTCCATGGGATGGTTGGAGTTTCTCAAGTCAAATCTGTGATGGGTCTAGGGGTTATCTTATGTTGGGAGGTGATGCTAGCCCACTACTGTTCATTAGAATGTAATTAGATGTAATTTTCATTTAGAGTCAAGGATTTGAACTTGGGGTCTGACACATTTAAGAAAGCATGCTACATACACTCTAGTCATTGACTGATTATTCTGCCTCTATCCTCACAGGCCATGGATTGGTGGGGGGAGGGTCTCTTAAGGCCTACTAAAACAGAATCTGTTCTCAGATCCAATGATGCAGAGTACACGCAGTTCCGATAGGGGCACTGTACACTCCTACACAGCCATGCTAGCATAGGGGTCTCACCAAGGCCACCCTTTAGTGCCCTGGGAGGCTGTATACCCTCCTGGGCCCACCCAGGCTATCCTTGAATCACATTATATCATAGTGACATGGGCTCTGATAACATGGGCTTAAGAAACTTCAGCTGAACTAAAATTGAGACAGATTATACATCAAGACATTACTCACTTAAAAAAAAAAAAAAAAAAAAAAAAAAAAGTTTGAAATCAAACCCAGAACCTCATACACAGCAGTGAGCTACATCCCTAGTCTCTGAGCTATTCTCAAATGATAAAAAGTGAGCCACAGGCCAGTTGACACAACCTAAGGCCATGTTAAAAGGATTACACACTCAGCCCACTTTTTGCTTCCCCTACTCCTTTTTAGTGATGTTCAAGGAAAACATCAAAGTGAAAGAATTTTTTTTAAAAGAGAGAGAAATGATCAAGAGAAAAATGGAAGGGTGTTTATTTGATTTAATTTTATGATGCCTGTTTTTAGTTATATATATTTAAGATGCCGATATGATGATTTAACGTGCACAATGAAACAACTGCCAGAGTCAAGCATATTTATCGTTTCCCATTGACTCTTTTTTTGCAGGTGGTAAGACTGGCTAAAATACAGTCTCTTAACAACTTGCTAGTATGTAGTATGACATCATGACCATGTTGTTCCTGAGACACACAAACTTTTTAGACATGCTTACACCACAATTTTGCATCTTGCCCTCTATGACTGTTATTTTACTGGACCAGCACTATTTGTCCTACTCCACCTTTCTTGTAGGCTCTTGGCACAAAGTTACAAAAATGGTTTTATAAAGTGGGTCATGTATTACATTCCAGAGTCATGCTGCTAGTAACTGCCAAGGCCGGCCTTAGGTGATCAGCCAAGCCGGTTGTCATCTCCAAGGACAGGGTATTGTACCCTATGAAGATTGCCAGCATCCCCTTTTGAGCCTCCCAAAACACCTTTACCTCAGAGGCAGTTCTGGCCCTTTTCTCTTGACTAGCCCTAAGTCCCCATGGGTATTTCAGGACCATAGGACTGAAATCATATTCACTAACACTTCAGGATCTGTCTGACACCCTCCCGCCAGGGTAGTGTCTTCAGGGAGGCTCATCTTTGGGAACCTTGTACACTGGAACCATTTTAGAATTGAGAAAAGCTGGGGAAGACTCTGACATTGAAGGTGATTGCTCTGCCATGAAGAAGACCTAAGTAGCAAGCACCCTGACACTGAAATTCAAATGTGGTGTTTTTTGAGAGCAATGCAGTGTGAGCCTTCCTGGGGCTTTTGTGCAAGGGAACCAACTACTCTTGACAAATACAGAGAAATCTGTGGAGATGGGCGTTTCTGCTAGCCAATGCCAGCAGAATGTTCTATAGTAGAAAAAGTGATTTTCTACATGTGTCTTCAAGGGCAACCTAGAAGCACTGCTTTACAGAGATCACCAGCTGACACATCAACGCTACTTGATACAGTCACAAAAAAAAATGTCAATGTGTGTATGAATTTATTTTACAGGGCCAAGTGCTAATGACTAAATGGAAATCTCATATTTTCCACCTTTGCTTTGAGTAAGCTCTCTTTCCTCAGTTTCCTCCATAAAGTAAAAAGTAATACGATAAGATATATTTGAGCAAAATAAGTGTTTCCTACATGGACCAAAAAATCACCTTCTTGTGTGTTTAGATTTTCAGATGTCCATATCCCTGAACACCTAATACAATAACCTGCGGATGTGCATATATGTGCACAAACACACACCCATATGCCACATCCCAGGCTCTCTGATTCTAACCACCGTAATCTTAATCCTTTAAATGTGATTATTATTATTATCATTGTTATTACTTTAGGTAATTCTGGGAATTCTACTTCCTCCTTCAATTCTCAGCTTGGAGTTCAAGAACAAAGACGACATGCCCTATATGACTCAGGCCCAAGAAATTCATCTGCAAGAGAAGGAGCCAGAGGAGCCAGAGAAGACCACAAAGGAAAAAGATGAAGAGGACATGGAATTAACAGTAAGAAAACACTATGCAGTTTTTCTCCCTGAGGAGACTCCCCCAAGCCACTCAGGCATTGATGTTGCTGAGGTTCAACAATGCTTGAAATAAGACTTCCCCAGTCTCCTGCCAGGTCTAATGTTGTAAGTGTTGAGATTACAGTATCATAAAAGTTTCCACTTTGTGTGCAAACAGCAAGGCTATAGGATCCAACTGTATGGAAAGGCCTTCTGCCAATGTGCTACAGAACAAATTGATGAAAGTCAGAGCCAGATGCCCTCAATTTTCCAGGCAAGCGTACTGTTTATAAACATGACGATGTGACTGGCAGTCTTAACATACAAGAAAGAAAGGGAAGCCATGAGCCGTGAGCAGCCAGCTTTGCTGAGCTGGGACCATTCTGCTGGTCAGAAGCTAAGCCTGTATCTGTCTTCAGGGTCAAAGTCACAAAGCCATCACTAATTGAATTTTGAGGTTCGTGTGGAAAGCTTTTATTAGTGCTTCCTGGTACAATTATAGAACATGGATGCTTTGTTCTGCAGAGAGAACAAGACAGCTGTGCATGGAACCACTTCCTGCAGCCCCCACCCAAGCAACATGACTGCCACTGGCTTGTATCCAAAGGCTAAAAATACCCTGTGCTATTAAAGGGACAAATAGGGCTTCATAGCTTGGGAGAGCTGCATCAAACAGCAACTCCACAGGGACAGTTCTGAAGAGCCTCAGCCACCCTCATCACCCTAGCCACTGGCTACAGGAATAATGACCCAGAAGGATCTGTAAGAGGAGAAGATGAAAATTGGTTTGTTTTGGGTGACAAAAAAAAAAAAGACTTTGAGTGAGTCTTGTCATTGGGACTACCATGTTCTTCCATATGCACAGAACTTCTTTCTAGAAACTCCTTCCTGGGGATCTGTTGATAGATATGACCCTTCACTCACTGAATGAAAAGCAATTTTTGTTTCAGTTCCCAGATCTTTGTAAACATCTATGTAGGCATTGGTCCTGCCCTGCCTTGCAATAGCAGCAGAGACTGCCTTCCCTGCAGATAGTGTTGTAATTTTGATATCTGAACTCCTCAGATGAGAAATCATGGTTAGTGTTGATTCTGAATTCTTGCTAGCAGAGAGGTAAAGAGTATGTGCTCCAGAGTCAGAATCCTGACCCTTTGCCTACTTGCTGTATGACCTTCCAGATAATTTTATCCCTTCAATAGTGCCAGGATAGTTGTGTTTGCCTCTCAGGTGGTTACTTGGTTTAAAGAGTAAACTTCTCAGACACATACATGTAAACTACTTAGACTAACAACTGAACATTAACAAATATTTGTTTATGTTCCAAAAATGGTACTGCACACTCTATCTGCCCTCACTCATGGGACCACATCATGGCCCTTGGATGCACATTGTTCTACTTCCCAGGTTAGAAAGCAAGGACTCAGAGTTTAAATTGCCCACGTTTATCCAACTGGTTAGTTGCAAAAGTGAGATTAGAATCCAGGCATACATACTTGATTGGCTGTTATACATTTAACAACCTCAGTCAATTGTCAAAGGCAAGAGAGAATTATATTCTATTCTATTCTCCAATGGTCCTGCTTAGTGGATTTAGTTTACTACAGTAGAGAGCCTCCAAGGGATGCCAAGTGTCCCAGATCAAGGATGGTGTGGCTCTCTCACAGGTAGCCATTCTGGGAAGACATCCAGAAGCTGCAAGATGCTCTCAGTGGCTGGTTATAGAGGAAGGAGCTTCCCTTTTCTACTAAGAGCTTTGGGGACTATGATCCTTCAGGAAGTCACTGTAAAAGATGACTCCCTAGTCCCAGAGCACAACAGGCTTGCCAGGGAATAGATCCTAACACTGTTCACTGTGAACCTGAGTAGGAGGTGTGATGATGAGCATAAACCTCACAGAGAAGAATAATGTGGGGACGTGTGGGCTGCAAGCTTTGAGTGGGACAGCATTGTTTTTAAAAGAAGCCTCTTTTCACCCTGATGGCAATTTTTGTCCCCTCCTGCTTCTCTGGTGAACATCTCAGCCTAGACAGGTTTGGAGAAAGGAGGTTGTTGACAAGCCCATTCCCTTCTCAGGGATGATATCTGAGCCTCTAGAACATGAATGCATCCTTTCTGAGAACAGGACATCCTTGGTTATTTCCAAAATGACACCTAAAAGTATCAGTCTCTACTTGCACCATGTCCGTAGCCTTTAGCAGCATTAAAAGATCTGTCGCCACTTTGCCACCTGCATCCAGCTGGCAGGGTCTCAAATCTGCACTGAACAATGATATGTTTAACCCTGTTCAAACCTCTTTTTCTACTAGAAAATATTTTTGTTTTCTATTTGAAGTGTTCCTTTTATACATAAACGACCCTTTTCAGTTCTGCTTTAAGCAGCATCAACGGAAATGTTTGATTACAGGGGAAAGAAGTCAACAAAATCAGAGTTAAGCTGCTAAGGCTGGAACGGGTGTCGTGGTATGCACGTAAAAGACAAGACTTTGCAAATGCACCCCATTCCTCAGAGCATATGTGAGTAACAATGGATAGGCAGCTGCAATGCTTTTGTTCCACCTGCATGGCCAAGGAAGTATGCCATCCCGCACTTAAGTCTCAAACAGCCCTAGCATGTGCAGAGCTCCAGGGCTATGTATGCTTTGCGAGGAAAGATGCTGTCCCTAGAGGTTACCCTAAGATGTCACTCCCTAAGACACCTAAAAAATGTCAACTTGTCTTTATTTTCATTCCATCATATCCCCAAATGGCGCTCAATTATTGAGCATAGAAATAAGCAAGAACAGGAGAAGAATAATTGTTACATAAACTATAGGACAAACATCTCATTCCGCCAGTCTCTTGAGGCCAGTGACCAGTGTTAGTAGGACTCTACTGGACTCTCCTGTGCTCAACCCATGAGAATATTGATTCAGTTCACTAATGAAAGTAGACATGTGTGAGAGCCATAGAGGGAAATCTTCCTTCCATTAGCTCAAGGCACCTTTCTCAGGCTATACCAAGGAATGGAGGCTGCTTCCCCAGAAATGCTACAGGATAGACATAACCATTTGTGAGTGTCATACATCTGAATGAAGAAATCATTGAAATTCTTGAAACTAATATTGGTTATGTGTTGTGTCAGGTGGTTGAAAACTAAGTCATGTAGTAGTTATCTCTGTCTTCAACGTCACTACAAATTGCAATCATTGCTATAATTAGGTCTCTTATTTTGAAATTTATACACCAAGTATTGTGTCATATCCCAAATCCTTGTCAATTCTGAGCAGCTATAATGTATGTCTTATCCTAGTCTTGTGTATGTTGAGAGTCTCAGGGTTGGTGGGGGGAGTGGTTCAGAGATAAAAGAACTTGCTGTAAAAACATAAGGACCCGAGTTCAAGTCCCCAGAACCACATAAAAAGCCAGCTATGGCCACATGTGCCAGGAGAGGTAGGCAGAGACAGGAGGATCACTGGGGCCTTCCTGGCCATCAGACTAGCTCCAAGTCCAGTGAGAGATCCTGCATCAAGGGAATACAATGGGGAATTATAGAGCAGGTCACTTAATATCCTCCTCTGGCCTCTGTATGCACACCCACCCATACACATATGTGCATACATCACACATTCACCACATATCAGCACAGGAAAAAAATCAATTTCCCAGCAATGTATAATTAACCTTATATGCCTTATAACAATATTGAAGACTTAAAGCCAGTACTTTGCCCTTAGAGACTCCCATAGCATGCACACCTTTCTGGAGAGGGACCTTCACAGTAGAGTATCTAAGAAGGTCTAAGTTTACTGTGAAGATGACCTAGTAGTTATTGAGTGCTTAATTAGGTGCCAGATGTTAATGCATAGACCCCCAAGGACCAAGAACCAATTTATGGCTAAAGAAAGTAGGTCTCAGAGAGGTTAGAATAACTTGCTCAAGAGTCCACAGTCTGAGTATTCATCTTAGAACTCATTTTCCCATCTGTGTCATCCAAAGCCTTTACAAGCATTCACCATTAGGATCTTCAGTCATTTCTGGGACATCCTGTTGTGGCTTCCTTAGATTCTGCTGTTTTTATGGTATTTGATCACTACTACTCATATTGCTACTGTTGTGATGAACAGCAAGGGAAACCATGTTTAGGGAGCTCTCCAGCAGCTTACAGATGAGGACCATTGCAGATCTGGCTTGCCTCAAATCATTCTCCTAACCCTCCTGGTTGCAGAAGAAGGCAGTATACTCAGAAGTGACAATAAAATTGATAACAGCAGGGATTCCAGTCTTACAAAGTTGCAAATGGAGGAACCAATGCACTTGCTTTGATATTGGTAGAGATATTCCTAGCCTAACTAAACTCCAAGCACTTCAGATGACCTATACCTTGAATACTTCTGCTCTTTGGATATATAATGGACTTTGGTCCAATCAATCCACCTTTGACTGGAAAGTCACTAGCACAGGTGTAAACATAATTTCAATCCAGATCTCAAATGTCTCATATACATATGGGAAGAAAGTAACAGAATTGGGACAGATTCCTGTAGCCTGGCCTTCCCAAACAGTACTTATTATCCCTCTCAGAACTCTGTGTATATCCTATTACCTACCTCATTCAGAGGGTCCAGGTTGGAAAAGAAAGAAAGGTTCAAGAAATATCCCCCAAGCCTTCCATCCTTAGTGCAAGCCTATACATAATAGGAAAGGCATACTTTTATACTCCAGGGGGTGGGGCTTATATTGGATTCTGTGCACTCAGTAGGTGCCATGCGCATCCACTTACCCTCTGCAACGTGGCCTATGGAGCTCAGCCATGATGGTCTCTGTTCTCTCACACTGTAGGCGATGTTGGGGAGAAACAACGGGGAGTCATCCAGGAAAAAGGACGAAGAAGAAGTCCAAAGCAGGCACCGACTAATCCCCGTGGGCCGAAAAATCTATGAGTTCTACAATGCACCCATTGTGAAGTTCTGGTTCTATACCGTAAGCATTTCCATTCCCCCTTTCCAAAAGGCGTTCCTTTCTCAGTCACCTGCATGGCTTTGTCTGAGCAGCATTATAAGTACCACGTGTGCAGAAACGAAAGCTCTGTGACCTTGTTTTTCCAGTAGTTTCCCAAGATTTGTGGACCTTGCTGGGCATCCTCCATTGACTGCCTAAAGGCAAACATAAATGTTTGCCACAGAAAGTAAAGGAACTGACAGAGGCGAGACATAATAGAAACAGATGTGAGATATGTATGAGTTAGTTCAACACCAAAACAAATGTCCTCTTCCAGAGCATTCCTGTGTTGCCGCATGGATGAGAACTAGGACAGAGTGGCCCATTACAGATGCTCATCCTGGGCTTCAGGGGAATATTTGTGGGTCAGGTTGGCACATGGTGTAGATGTAGCACCTCTAGGGACAGACAGCATCTATAAGTAACAACTTCCTACCTGGTAATGACATCAATCACACTTTCTTACTCAGGCACAATTGAACAGCATGCAGCTCAAAGCTAGAAAACCTCCAATCCTGGTAAATATCCTCCAGGAATCACACCCTACACACGCTTCCTGTCTGCAAAGCCACAAAATGATGACTGGTATCATAAATAGGAACATTGCTGGGGTTCCCTTCTCCTTTTCAATGACGCTTTCCAGTGGTTCTCAACCTTCCTAATGCTGTGACCCTTTAATACAGTGCTTCATGTTGTGGTGACCCCAAACCATAAAATTATTTTCATTGTTACTTCATAACTGTAATTTTGCTACTGTTATGAGTCTGTGTTTTCTGATGGTCTTAGGCGACCCCTATGAATAGAGCCCAGAAAGTCTCATTGAACTCCCAAAGGGTCATGACCCACAGAAAACTATGGAAGTTTAGTGATTCTGTACAGCCTGGTAGAGCTACACCAGATACAGGATGATGCTTCTGTATTTTTAGAGTTTCTCATAACCAGCTGCAGAACAATCATTTGAGCCAACAATAGGGTAATCTAGGTCTGAGAACAAGAGGGCTCAAATGACCATGGAAGTTGCTTCCTGTGCAGTCCAAGATACTAATAGTCAACACTGGCTTTAAAGGGAGACTTCCTAGCCTCAGCGCTAGCGATAGTTTAGCTAGGACAATTCTTTGCCATGCAGCAGCATCCCTGATCTGTACCCACCAGATGCCAGTACCACACTCTGTCCTTTAAGGATGACAGCCAAAATGTTTACAGACATTTGTGGGATAAAAACTAGCCCAGTAAACGCAGCTACTTTAAGGGATGCTTTTAATCGGGTATGAGAGAATATAAAAATACATGCCACATTTATATTCATTTTAGTAAAGTAAAATTTTGAATGTACTGACATTTTAAAATAATAACCACCTCAAAAGAACATACATTCAAAAAGTCAGTTTACATTTTTTACAGCACTCTTTCCTGTTTGCCCCATAGAAAGCAGTGGTGCTGTGATTTTGTGTAGCCTGAAAAGAGACAGGCCACACACAGGTCTACCTGTGTCCCTCTGTGCTGTGACCCCAAACAAGCTACTTTCCCATTCTGTCCTTCTGTGGGATAGAAGTAATACTACTACCTACTTTATGAAGATTGATGTGCTGAACGATATGAAACACTTACAATAGTGTCTGGATCTGTCAATACAACATGGGAGTAACTAGTGTTATTCCTAAACTAGTCACATCTCTGAGAGGTAATCAATGCCAGATTCATCTGTCCACTCCACAACAGAAGCATCATTTATTGAGCAGCTACTGTGTTTAAGCAAGGGTCCAGATGCTTCCTAAATAACTTTCCTGAGGCTACCACTGACTTCATTAATACAACATCTGTCCCTTGTTTTTATGCCCACATCTGTCCTTCTCCTTCTGTTCTTCTGACTCAGTTGTCAAAACCAAGAAGGGGGTGTGAAAACTATAGCCACAAAGGAAACTCCACTCTTATGATCCACATGTTCAAACTCATTTTTTGCATTTTTATTTTATTTATTCGGTGATGCTGTGCATCACACCGGTGCCTTGGGCATGCGAGGCAAGTGCAGTACCCCTGAGCTACAACCCCAGCCTGTTTTTTGTTTGTTTTGTTTTGAACCTTTTTTTAAAAGGTTGAAATAAGTTTTTTTTTTTTTAAAAAAAAAAAGGATCAATTTGTGAAATATGAAAATCAAATTTCGGTGTTTACCATACCTGGCCACACATGTGCTACAACAACCAAAAAAAAAAAAAAGAAAAAAGAAAGAAAAGAAAAGTTAATTTAAAAACAAAACCAAAAAACACCTCTTGGCCTACAGAACCCTGAAGAGTCATCCTGTGGCCTTTTGCTAATGTTAGCTGATTCCTGGTGTGAAGCATAGGAGAACCTGGTGGAGGAAATTGCTAAAGAATTAACCAGCACTTGGATGAAACTGACCTCACGCAGCCTTCCAAGTCTTCTGCTTTCTCTTCTTCATTGGGGCCCCACATTCCCATCATTTGAATCCCCTGATTCTCTTGCTCCCCATTGACTCAACTCAGGCCTTTTCAACCCTGAATGCTTTTTTTTCACTAGTGTCCTGGCCAGTGGCTCTTGACCTTAGCACCTCTGTAGGAAGGTTATTGGAATCACCCACTACATTTTTTGGTTTGGGTTTTGGCTTGTTTGGTTTTGTTGGTGTTGGTGCTATTTAAGCCAGGTTTTCCTTAAACTCATGATCACCTTCCCTGTGCCTCTCAAAGGCTGGGATTATAGGGATGTGTCATGTCCATCTGTTGGAACACTTTAAAAGCCTGGCCTCCACCCTCAGGGCTCTGATGTGATCCCTCTGGGTACAGCCTTCACTGGCCAGGTCATTATTATGAACAGCTGGGGTTAAAAAGCCCTGACTCTGAACAAAGAGTAGTGAGTTTTAGCCTATTATTTTCTAAAATGCCCAGGATCGAAAGGATTTACTCGAAATCCCAATTCAAAGATCCAACATGGACCCAACTGAATCAACTCTATGAAATAAATGGGGAGGTGTTTACCAAAAGTTTCAGGTGTCTCTAATGCTAACAAAAACCTGGGATACACTGCTTCAAAGACCATTTGCAGCATGCTTTGACACACTGAGTTATTTTTCTATTGCTGTGAAAAAATAAAAACACTTATGGAAGAAAGCATTTAATCAGGCTTATGGTTTCAGACAGTGTCCACCATGATGGAATGCAGGCCCAGTGGCAGGAACAGCACATCTTGATCTGCAAAGTACGAGGAGAGAAAGCTAACTCAAAATACTGAATCTTTTGAAACCTCAAATGGCCCCTAACTGGAGACCAAGCACTCAAAGATATGAAGCCACGGGGCCACTCTGATTCAAACCACCGCAGGAGCTGTATCTTTGACAGCTGGGGTTAGGTATCCAGCGCTCTCTCTCTCTCTCTCTCTCTCTCTCTCTCTCTCTCTCTCTCTCTCTCTCTCTTTCTCTCTCTCTCTCTGTCTGTCTCTCTCTCTCTCTCCTATAACTGGGTTAGCCTCAGTAAATCCATCACACCACATTTCCCAGTTATATTTAAACAATCCCAGAAGTTTGTGTTCAGATGTTGACAAAACCCAGGCCTCGAGGTAAATGAGAGGGCCAAGCTTCTGAGACCCCGACACTGCTTAACAGTAAAGTTCATCGTCAGATTGATGGCCCCATTTGCTGTGACCTGTGTTCTCTGTAACAATATTTCCCTTCCTCCTCTCTGCCACTCTGTACAAAGAGAACACCCACCTCAATCCCCTAGTCCCTCTTGTCCTAATCTAAGCTTCCCAGAGGAACAGGTGGGCCCTCTTCGGTTCTAAGATAGAAGGAAGCAGATGCAAATGGCTCTCAGCCCCTGTCTGTGCAGAGTATCTTTCTCATTTATGAGCCAGAGAAGATTTTAGGGCACAAAGTGACCACAGGTCAGAGGACATGATGCATACTGTGGGTTTCCCCGGTAGTGACGGTACTTTCCCAGAGGCCCTAGGTTAGGTGACTTACAAGGTGACATGCATGAACTTAAACCCAAATTCCACTCCAAGTTTTTCTGCCTACATCCCCTGCTCCAAATACAGTAGACCTGAGTTCACGGGGGGGGGGGGGGGGGGGAGAGGGAGCTGTTAGTAAAGTTACTTAAGTTCTAAGGCAAGGAATTTCTGAAGAAATGAGTTCATGTGTCACTGGGCCAACATGTGACAAGAGGAGACAATGCCTTGGAACATTTTGCGTTGAACTTCATAGAATGTTAAACCAGGGCACTGAAGAGTCACTCCACCTTGACGCAACAGAATTTTATTAAATGAAAGGAAGGAAGTGACCAGGAAGACAGAAGCAATTCCAGACAAAAGGAAATGGAGTATATTAGAGAGTTTTCTCACAGACTCCCTTCCTTTGTGTTTTGTAACTATGCATACAAGGACTTCAGAGTGTATCAGGGTTTTCTTGATCATAACCTGAAACCATGCAAACCAAGTCCCACTTGGAATCAGTTTTTAAAGGATGCCTCTCTCGTGCAAAAGTTCCGTGATTCCCTAGTGATTCTTAAGTGGGGAATCTGTGGGAACGTAGACATGGGTTAGTGTAACAGTAGTCATGGGGATATAAAAACCAAATCACCCAGGGGGAAGAACTCAGGTAGCCCTCAGCAGCTGCAGCACTCACTCTCTGTCACAATCTGATTGTCCCAGGTGTGCTAGCCTTTACCCCTGTCATAGCTTCACCCTTTAGATGAAGGAAGGAGGGCTGGCTGGGAAGTAGCTCGCAGTGGTAGAGTGTTTGCCTATTATGGCCAGGTCTTGTCTTATCAGAAAGGGAATTCTGTGCCACAGTTGTACCTGAACATGTGTCATCAAGGTAATGGGGGTGTCAGAGGTACCTTTGATTCACATTAAAAGTCTATTCAATTTACTAAAATCAAGGAAGAAGCCCACTGGTACATAAGACATCTCTCTGATCCCACATCTCTTATCTCCCCACCAGGCTGCAGTTTCTGCCTCCTTACTTGCCTTTACAGTCCCAAAGTCACCCAATGTCTCAGCACCTCAAATCCCCAACCCTCCTGCCCACATGCTGCCCTGCTCTCGTTGCCACACCACCCACAAGGAATACAGATTTGAGTCAGCTCACTCTGGGTCCCTGCTCGCAGCCCCTGAGGCCACTCAGTGCCTTGCTCAACTTGAAGCATTGCCTGCAGGATGTTTCACTCATCTGCCATCCCCCTTGGGGTAAATTTTCTTTTGCAAGAGCACCCACCACATCTCTTCTTTCCACATTGACATCACTGCATCTTTCAGCAACAGACTCCAAGTTTGGGCCCCGAGGAGTGTTTCCCACACCCAGCATTTCATCCCAGTCACATCAGGACTCAAACTCCAGATGCTGGTGCCTCCGGAAGATTAAATCCACTCTGGTGAACAATAGGCCCCAGACCCAATGCCTTCCTGTAAACTGCTTTATCTTCTCTTGTTTGGTTTCAAAAAAAAAAAAAAAAAAGCAGAACTCGAACTCAAATGTTCTAACAGGGAAAGGCAGGATGATAGGACAGTGGGAAAGAGGTCAACATCCTCCCTAAGAAGCCAAACCACAGTAGGTCAAAAACATCTACTCAGGAGATCATGGGAGTAGGGCTTTAAGATTACATCTAGGCTGCTTACATTGAAGTTTTACCAACTTATAAGTACTATATGTGTCTTCCTTCTGGTGGGAATTAATCTATCTGGCATCTTTCAGGGAAAGAAAATATACTATATGACCTTAGTATGGAAAGCAAAGTCTTCACTTAAGCAAGAAGAACCCTGATAGGCCAGGTTTTTTTCTAAGCCAGAACACCAGAACACAGACACACACACGCACACGCACACATAAAAATTAGTGGTGATTGCCACACAAATTCATACATGGTGATACAAAAGTTTAATCAAGGTACTAGGATCCCAGAGACGCATATAAAAGTCAAAAGCAAACACTGTATATGCAACTACTTTAACTATTATAGCCTTTTTAAAAAAAAAAAATAATGTTTGCAGTAGAGACGGCTCAGCAGGTAAAGGCACTTGCCCAGAACTTGGTGGATGGAAAGAAACAACTTCTGCAGACCTCCATAGGAATGCACACAGAAATAAATAAATGTTCTTTGTTATTTAAAACTCTATAGCTCATTTGTCATGGAGTCCCTGTCCTGCTTACTGACCTTGCTCGGTGCTGCCATGCAGTGGTCTTGCCTGGGGTCCAGCTCCCAGGCCTCTGCAGTTAGAGTACTGTATTGTTTTTCCTTGCAGCTGGCATATATCGGATATCTGATGCTCTTCAATTACATCGTTCTAGTGAAGATGGAGCGCTGGCCTTCCACTCAGGAATGGATCGTCATCTCCTACATTTTCACTCTGGGAATAGAGAAGATGAGAGAGGTAACTGCTTCATAAATGAAAACAGGAGGGAAATGGTGGCTCATCATATCTGAGGATGGAGAATTAAGAGGGATGCTTGGGACACAAACTAAGCCCCAAACTGGGTTTTGTAATGTTGCTGAGGGCTGCAGCTTTCCTCTTTGTCAAACCTAAAGAGGTTTCCTAGGGCGATTAAGTCTATTTTCTGCTCACATGCCTTTTGCCCCAAGACATCCTTCAGAGGGCTTCAACATCATTTACACCTCCTTCTTCTTATCCCTATGAAGATGACTTTTTAAATTTTGCTATTTTTAACTCACATTCCAAACCCTTACTTGGGATCTCTGTGGACACTGTCCACCAATCCAATATCAACTTCTCCAAATGTGTTCTAGCAGCTTGCCGTCAAGCCCAATGACCTGAATACCCAATACCCAAAACCCACATGGTGGACAGAAAGAAACAACTTCAGGGGAGTTTATAGATACTCTGCATGTGTCCTTTATTCGGTTTATTCTTGAGTTAATTCCTTCTCAACATCTATCACCCCCATGCTGGGCACCTACCAGCCCTTCCATTCCTAGGGAGCACCATGGAGTATGGAACACAGTTCTGATGTTTCACGTTGAAGATGTAGTAGTTTCTCTCCTCACCTTCCACCACTTACACTAAGAGGAACCATTGAAATGCCACCCCCTTTATAATTTGTTTGCTGTCAAAGCTAACCACAGGGACAGGAAATATTCCATGCTAAAAAAGAAATGAGCTATGAGACTATGGGAAATGTGTTTCAAAGAGAAAGGGGTCTGAATGGGATATTCTTTATAATTCCAGCCATATGAAATTCTGGAAAAACCTACGGAGACGGGAGGGAAGCTATGGTGATGGGGGGGGGGGACTGTGGAGTGGTAAGAAGATTGGTGGTTGCCTGGGGTAGGACACTGGAGGGATGGTAGGTGACAGGTGACGCTGGCTTCTAAGGTTACAAAAAATACTTTGTATGCTACTCTAGTGATGGGTTCGTATCATTCTTCACATGTTGAAACCCATAGAATGCACCCTACCAACAGTAAACCCTGATATGAAGTTTAGTCTCTGGGTGATGTGTCAACACCATTCCACCATAATTTAAGAAAAAGAGCAAACACTAACCCCAGAGGGCGGCCCTTTAGATTTCAAGAGCTTCTAAAAGTCTATGTGGTCAAGAAACAGTCCACAAGAGGGCGCAGCAATCCTGCTCAGTGCTCTCCAGAAACTCGACCTCACCAGAGAAAACCTGCAGGGAAGGCAGGCTTGCAAGGTGAGACAACTCCTCTGCGTGTTCCCAGAAACTGCAGTGAGTGGGAGGGGCCTTTTCAGGAGGAAAGGATCCTGTGAAGTCTGTGCAGATCTGGGAGCTCCAACACAATCCTGGTGTCTGTATTACAGTGGGTGGGCACCCAATGAAATGGGGCTGCAAACCCACCTTCATCACCCAGACATATTCAAATGTTCTTGCCCTGGTGAATTTCACCTCTGAAATGTTTTCCAGAGAAGAAAGCTGCTGTATCTATTGAATTTAAATTTGATGGCAACACGCACACACACACACACACACACACACACACACACACACACACACACACCTTTGCATTCAGCACCTTTCTCTGGAGCTGTGTGGGTGCTATTTTGATTGTAATTGGCAGTTCCTCCTCCTGAGAGCTTGGGAGTGGTACACAAGCCCCACCTGATTAGAGACATAGTTAAAACAACCAAGGACTAAGGCAGTGAGATGCCTCCTGTTGCTTCAGTTAGTCCTCTACACATGTCCCACCATTCATAGTGCCTTCCATTGCTTGAGCAGTGCAGTGGGCTTGTAAACTGAAAAGGCAGCAACAAATTTGCCTGGGACTTTGTGTAGCTCTGAGAAGTGAGCCTGCTCCCGCCAGGGGCCCTGCCTCCGTGTAGTGCCAGCTGGCACTCCAGAGACTTAACACCCAGCCACATATTCCTTCCTCATCACAAGCAGAGGAGGGAAAGACTAGAGTGTGGAGACTGGAGGCTGTCCAGGGACTAGGCTGGAAGAAGACGGGGAGCAGCCTGTACTCCTCGGACTGTTCTAGAAAGGCTGCCAAGTGGGCAGGCTGCCAGAAACCTCCAGGCCTGGCCATCCATTTCTTGTGAAGCTGCATGTCATGGCAAGCAGGGTGGGGCTCCGATACTGGGTCAGGGCTGGGTCAGCTGAGGAGTGCTGTGCTTGCCACTGAGGGAGATGTGGGAAGTGGGGTGGTGGACATTTCTGTGCCGATCTTTCTCTCTGCAATCGGCGAGGTCGTCTCTCACCCCATGTCCCTGCCTTGAACTCTGGAAGGAGAGACTATTGAGTGGGTGAAAATTCCCACAAGCACCAGCCTTCCTGCCTCCTTGCGGTTGGCACACAGGCCCTCGGGAACCCAGATGCAAGATCCTGGAAGCCTGGAAAACTTTGCATGCTTCCGTGCCTCCCAAACAAACACAAGGAAGGCTGTGGTTTCATGTGCTGCTGGGCCTGTTCTCTTCACCACATACTTCTGCATGCAGTCACCAGAGGCGGCCACAGCAATCCCTGAATAGTATGTGGCTGTTTACAGCAAGCCTTACTAGACATTATCTCACCCAGTGCTCCCCCAAGTCTGTGAGGTCAGTGACAGCCATGATTACATCCATCCCTGCTTTACAGGTCTGGGAAACAAGATGGAGCAATTGTTTGGTGTGCTACAACTAGGGAACCGAGCGAGGTCTGAAACTTGTTTGAGTCATCTGAAACTTGCCTTTCCATTCCCCCATGATACTCTACTGGGTCCCAGGATACCAAGGCCGGTGCTACAGGCTGGCTTAACAGTGGTGGGAGCAGAGGAGGGGCTCTCCTAAGCCCCCTCTCTCTTTCCTCACTCTCTCTCTCCCTTGCCTCCCTTCTCTCTCTCTCCCTCTCTCTTTCCTCTTTCTCCCCTCTCTTCTCTCCCCCTCTCTTCCCTCATCTCTCTCCCTCCCTCCCTCCCTCTCTAATAGTAATCTTAGCAACACATGAACAAAGGGTCAGGAACCACTAAAGCGTGGTCCATCCTCCCTGCCCCACCTTTGCCATGCACATCCACAGATTTTTACCTAGTTAAGATGAAACTAGAGGGTGAGGAGCCAACAGAGAAGCAACGGTTGCAGGGAGCGCTGGTGGGTAGGTGGGACAGTGGATCTCCCACCATGGTCACCAGCATGACCTGGAAACATGTCAGGACAGTGAATCCCCCGGCCTAACCCCATACCTGCTGAAGCAGGAGGTCCGTGATGGGACTCAGGCATCTGTGTTTTGGAGATGTGGAGGCTACTGCAGCTGGAATGGTCAGCAGAGGTCTTCCTAAGAAGGGGACATCTGAATAAACAGCCTAAGGGTAAGAAAGAGGCAAACATGCAAACTCTTGGAAAAGTGAAAGGAATTAAGTGCAAGTACCCTGAGCTTAGGCTGAATGTATTACGCTTCCCAGCAGGCCAGTCTGGCTGTAGGGAGAGAATGAGAGAGAATGCAGTCGGATGGGAAGTGGGCCATGGTAAGGAATCTGGCTCTTGGTCTGTTTATAATGAAAGCCATCAGAAAGTTTAAGTATGTACTTATCGTGGTTTGCTTGTCCCTCGTGTGTTTTTCTAAGACATGAGGTATAATTTACTGGTAATGAAAGGAAGCCCCGCTCAGGGAACAGCTTGATGAGTCTTTGCTTACGCAAGCAACTGTGTAGTCGCCAACCACATCAAGGGTTGGGTCTTTAAAGAGCTCACTGTTGCTGCTCAGAAAATGGATGGTAAGGCTGGCAGATACGCCATAAGAAGACAGTTGCAGCCATGGGCCTGATGTAATGGAACTTAGACTTCAGTGGCAATCATGGAGATGATGATAAGTTATTAACAGGGTTGGACTTCAGACAACAACTTGCTGATACAAGAGAAGAATGGAGGTGTCCTGTAGGAGTGGTCCATGTCACTCAGTACTGGAGCGCTGTTTCCTGAGATCATTGTGGGGATCTGCAGTGTGTTAGGAAAGTATAATGTTATAGCAAAAGCCTGCAGTGGCTCAGAATTGCCAGAAAATCCCAAGGATCAGACCAGTTGTTTACATCTGCTTTTAGACTGAGCACATCTGGATTACCTAAGCTTAGTTCAATTATGCATTCATAGCATACAGGTATTCAACTAGACACAGGTCTAGACAGCCCCTTCCGTCAGCTAACAAAGCGCTTTCCAGCTGAGTGGAGGGTATAGGAGAAAGCAGGCCTAACCCTCTTTGCTGCTCTGTAGATCCTGATGTCAGAGCCCGGCAAGCTGCTGCAGAAAGTGAAAGTGTGGCTGCAGGAGTACTGGAACGTCACAGACCTCATAGCCATCCTTCTCTTCTCCGTGGGAATGATCCTTCGTCTTCAAGACCAGCCCTTCAGGAGTGATGGGAGGGTCATCTATTGTGTGAACATCATTTATTGGTACATCCGTTTACTAGACATCTTCGGCGTGAACAAGTATCTGGGCCCATATGTAATGATGATTGGGAAAATGGTAAGCAAGGTCATTTGGTTCCATGTTACCCTTTCCCAGAGGAAGATTTGTGATAATAGAAAGAGAGATGTGATTCATTTGGGTTTGCCACTGTGGTCTGCATGAGATGGCCCCCAGGGGTGTTTCGGTGCTTTAATTCCCTTTGAGTGCTTGCAAATTTGACTCTATTGCTATATAAAAACTAAAGAATGCAATAATCAGCCACCTGTTTACTAACTGATACATATGGAAAGATCACTTGCTTTATGCCAGGCACTGGCTTAAGAGCAGAGCAAAGCCAAGCAGTGGTGTCACACGCCTTTGATTCCAGCACTCAGGAGGCGGAAGCAGACAGATCTCTGAATTTGAGGCTAGCCCGGCCTACAGAATGGGTTCCAGGATGGCCAGGGCTATACAGATAGACACTGTCCAGGAAAAGAAAAAGAAAATGGTTGAGCAAAGATGCTATTTCATGAGACTGAGACAATAGAGAAAGGAAGGGAAGTCCTTTGCATGCAGGGTGAAAAGCTCCTTACAGTGATGCCTGTGAAGTCCAGCAGAATCACAGGTCAGGACAGGCAGGCTCACTCAGAATGTTCACAGTGGTCAGGCTTGGAGAAGGACGTGGTCTCCACTAAAAATGTTAGCAGATTTTGAAGACTCATAAAAGATGAGCTTTGGAGCTGACATTTGAAGCTGGGTGCTTTGCACTCACTTAGAATACCCCACTTGGAGAGCTAAGGACATCAGATCCCAGACCATTCAGAGTTACATAGCAACAAAACCTAATGTAAAATGAGATCAAATAAAGCTCTTTTAAAAAGTGGCATCTGATCCACAAAGGGGGGTGGGTGGTGTTGAGTTGATGTTGAGTTACAGAGATGGAGTCTGAATACCAGGGGTTTTGTGAGTACTGGGGAAAACTATTGACTAAACCTGGCTCCTGGGTGAGGCACCTGCTCCTCTAATGGTTTAAAATAAAAGAATCCCAAGTGGTGAATTAATGAATGTACCTTTATACAAATGTCTGAGAACTTCAACTTCCTGACTATATTCCAGCTTCCAGAATTTTCCCATAAAGACTGAGCCTGAGGTGGCTGGCATCGTTGTGAACCTGGTGACAGGTGTGGAGTAGGGTGGCAGTAGGGTACTGGTTCATGCGCTCCTTTCTCGGACACTCTAGATACCAGAGCCTGATATCCACTTCTCTGATGCCAACATGTACATCTCTGAGATGTGGAAAGTTAAGCATATCTGCCCTACCTTGAAAAATATCCCCACATAAGAATCTTTTTGGAATCATCTCTAGTTCCATCCTATGAGCTTTTGAAACCAGCAAGTGGCATTATTGATGTCCCTTTTTACTGCCACTCAAGTTTTCCTATAAGCATCATTGCTAATTCAGTATTTATTAAACCCCTGTGCATGCATTCTACTGAAATACATCTTAAACAACTCAAAATCTTCCTATTAAAAAACAACAAATCCATGAAAAGAAAGGAAAAATTAAATTCACACTGGATTTTCTTTACTCTTTGATATTCAATTCACTGCCTTCTAAGGCAACAAAGAACAATAAACATGTACTTTGTAGAGCTGTGATAATTGGGAATGGCACGTGCTGAACAATAGCTGGTGGATAAATTATGTCTCCTATTGTTATGTTTACATTGTCTTTTTAAAGGACACTGAAGAAAGAAAAGTTTATAAACACACTGTTCTTCTGTACAACCAACCCTTTTGTACACAAGCTTGGAATTATCACACCAGCATCACTTAGGGTAAACAGCCCCAGAGACATTCTAGAGAAAGGAAACATGGGTTCTGGAGCTTCAGTTACCCAGACTGAACCTAGTTCAACTTGATATTGTTTGAGAAGGGGGGAAATGTGCATATTATTTGTTTGTTCTGCCATTGTGTCTTCATTGAACAATGGATTTGAGATTTGGGTGAAAATTCTTATGTCTAGAGGTAGACTCTGTGAAATGGATTTGAAGGAGGGGACCTATGGATCCCTGCTCCCAACTTACATAGGCAAATATGCATATGGATTTCTGGAGAGAACGGGCCTTTTCAAGATTCTCAAATGTATTTCCAAATAAACTGAGGGAAAAAAAATACCAAACTATAACAGCTTGGAAATCAAGCCAATTTTTCTCCACCTTGATACTTTTTTTTTTTTTTTTTTTTTTTTTTTGCTTTTTTTAAAAGGGTATCTCACCATGTTACTCACCCTGACCTGCATTTTACCCTCCTCCTGCCTTTGCCTCCTATGTGCTAGGACTGCAGGCAAAACACCACACCCAATTGGGACTTTGTGATTCTTTGTTAAAGAGTCTCCTTCCTGTATATTACAGGATGTTTAGCAGCTTACATGCGCACACACACACACATGCATGCATACACATATGCATGCACAGAGGGGGGGGAGAGAAAGAGAGAAGAGGAGAGGAGAGGAGAGGAGAGGAGAGGAGAGGAGAGGAGAGGAGAGGAGAGGAGGAGAGGAGAGGACTTGGACAACAAAGATGTGTCCAAACTACCAAATGTCCCCTGAAGCTCAAAACTACCCTCTGTCAAGAACCACTACATCAGTGGACTATTTAATCTGATAGTTGTTTGATTTTTTTTTCCGTAATGACTACCTTATTTTAACAGATAGAATATTCAAAGACCCAAAACCAAGTCAATTATTTTTAAAAGTCTAGGTGGCATTTAAATATATGAAATATCTAAAGTTACATTAATACAGTGAGATTATCTTAATTTCCATGCCTATCATTTTAATAACGGCGTAATTACCCTGGTTTTGACTAGAATGAAACCTTACTAAGACACGAGCAGGAGGGCTGTGATGCCTTTTCTCTCCTTTTTAACTTATGAATGACTTCATTTATCAGTCAGGAATAAGTAGGGAATTTGGGGACTTTGAGTTCTTACAGAATGCTTTTAAGATAATTAGTTCAATAATTGAGTCATCGATCCAGAAGATAGATAAAATCCATCTTTAGAGTTTATCAGTAAGCCAGATGGACTGCAAGCTGGAAGCCAAAGATCTTCCCAGATGTGTTGCATACAAAGCCCTCAACTTTAGAGGCCACCTCTTTAATACTCCACACCCAGGTAGCCCAGCATCTTCACATCCAGAGACAAAACATAGGATGCCCAGGTGCTCGTTCGGAAATGGGTTTCTGTGCTGGCAATGTAGAAGAAACCAGCCCATCAAATAAATGTCTGACAGCACAGACCTCCTTCATCTGTTCCCACTGTGAGTCCTGTTGGGATGCAGGTCCAGGTTCACTTGAAATCCTGACTCTGTTCTTTTATATTTCATTTCTCAAGGGAATTCTGTAAACCTCATACTAAGTCACTTGTGTAACACAGAACAGAAAGAAACCATGATGGGAATTATGTGTTACTGTGCCAGGCACCATGTAAGACACAGCTCAGTCCTCATTGTTAAACCCCATGGAATAGATCTTAGAACTCTCCTATATATATTAAATAAACAGACTCTGAGAGAGACAGGGACTAGGTTCAAACTCCTGACTCCAGGTCCTGACCTTCCAATAACAACACATTAGCATTTATGAGAACTTACAGCACAGCCATCACATTTAGTCAAAGATAATCGCGTGATTGTTATTATTATCCTGCTTACAACATTTAAAAACAAGATTAAGCAACTTGCTCCAGGCCACTTAGTGAACTTTCTTTTTCTTTTTAAATGGTCAGGGAAAGATTTTTTTTTTTTTTGGTGGATTTTTTTTTTGCTAGCTATTTTTGCTAGCTGTTGGGATCAAAACCCAGGTTGTCTGGCACCTAGCAGCATGTGCCTCATCACCACTGTAAATGTCCTCTGTTGAACATACTGAGAGGTGTTCATAAGACTGGGCAGGATCTTAACATTGAACTCACTGGATAATTTAACTTTGAAAACAAAAGAAGTCCCATTGCCTTCTTATTAATGGGGCTCAGATCCTGATATTTTTACTGTAGTAAAGACTTTGAAATAGAGAAGGCTCAGCACATGGAAAGAAGTTTTTTCTTTTAATGCTTTGACCCTGTGAATAGATACTAGGAACAATCTTTTTTTAAAAGCTGAGAAATTAAATTGGTGCAGTTTCTGTAGTTACTGGCTGGGTTTTCTTAAGCCAGACTAGCTCTGCACTCTCGTGTGTACACCTAGTTCTCCCCACACATCTTGTCATCTGTGTAAACAAATGTAACATGAAGGCCCATCATATACAACTTTCTGTAAATGAGTGGTCAAAAAATTTTATAAACTAAAAAGAAGAGAGAAGATGAAACATAGACTTGGGTTTCCTAGGAACCTGTTTCAACCCAGCCATCTCACCTACTTAGAGACCTGTGTCCACCAGCGGGGAGAAGGAATAACAACGAGCTTGTGTCTGGGAAGTCATGGAAAGGAGGAATCTTGGAGAAATTCCTATCTTGCTTCAAGGCCCTAAATTTTTTGGCAGATGCATTTTGAAGTTGTCTTGAAAATTGATGAATTGATCTAAAATATATTGAGGGACCTGTGTACAAAGGCACAGGAAGATTGTATTGTTTACAGTACTGGAACCCGTACCATGGAATATTCTCTTTTAAGCTGGAGGAGAAAATAGGTCCATAGTAGGGTGTGTGCTTAGTGCACATTAAGCCCTTGGTCCAATCCCCATCACAACAGTAACAATAATAAATAAAACAATCTAGGACCTTCTTCATCACTGATAATTAGCATTTATCATTCTCTGTGGGTGGGCACCCCTTATTCTATAATATCCTAGAGGAGGAAGTCTTTAATGTCAGACAGTATAACACAAGGAGTGAAAACCAATCTCCATAACTTAAGTATGGGAGAGATATGCTGACTTAAAAGAGGACAAGGTGGAACTGGCCATAAAGACTACTGAGACAGGGGTTTGATCACTGCTAGAACTAGCTCTCTTTCTCTTATATAATCTGCTCATTCACTGGTGGAGAAACTCAGCCTGCAGCATGCTACATGGTTACAAAGAATGAACATTATGAAAAATGAAAGGGAACTTCTCTATTTCTGCTTTAAAGAAATGATAGAGCAGGCTGTAAACACAGCACACTGGAAGCTGAAGCAGGAGGATCACAAAGTTCCAGGCATCACCCACATGGTGGGTCACCCACATGGTGGGTTCCAAGATACTTTGGGCTCACACAGAGTCCCTATCTCAAAAAAAAAAAAAAAAAGTTCTGAGTATTCTAGTGATCATATCTTCTGTCACATGCCTGCCTTACCATGGCTGACAAGAGGTGAGATCCCACAATGCCTTCCAAGGCATATCAGTTGGAACTATCTCTTAAAGAAAGATGCTGTGTGTTTGGAGCCAGACAGAATCACCACTTACTGTACCCTTATCAGTTTTCAGTGTTGAAAAGGTAGCAATTGGGTGGGTGAAAAATAGGTGTCTAGTCACACAGCATTGAAGCAAACCAGGGGATGGAAAAATAAAAGTGGAGAAAGGTGGTGGGCTTCAATCAGATTAGAAACTCACCAAGGAAGAAATCCATCATGTCAACAACGGCACTGGTCTGGCTTCTGAAGCCACATGGTTCTACAACCCTCCATAATAAGATGCCCTGCAGGAGAGATAGCGAAACTGGACAGCTCTGTGAGAGACTGGCAAAGAATTGAGCAATGTGATGGACTCCCCTTTGCCCTGCCCTAGGTCTGTTTGTAAGCCGTGTTTTCTTGCGCTAGTCTCTTAGAACTTAGAGTAGGAATATACTGTGCTGTACTTGTTCTTAAAATAGTTCAACTATCCCAATTCTAATTTTCCTAAGAAGAAACCAAAACCAGTGAGTTGCCTTCTCTATTAACAGTTTTTTAAAAATGGCGTTGGAACCATGTGGAGAACCCAAATTCTGAGGAATAGCACTCCTGTGCTTGGATGTAAATATATTCCACAGACATCCATAAAAAAGAAGGATGCTCCATCATATGGGCACTTGCTTTTAAAAAAAAGAAGAAGAAGGTTTTAGCAACTGTCATAAGTGTTTAGCGTGTAGACATCAACTTCAGTAATCCACTTAGCTGGGGATTCCTTCAATGTCAGCATTCACGGGCACCCTCAATCACATGGCTCTTCTTTTATTTCTCCTTCTCTGCCCTTCCAGATGATAGATATGATGTACTTTGTCATCATTATGCTGGTGGTGCTGATGAGCTTTGGGGTCGCCAGGCAAGCCATCCTCTTTCCCAATGAGGAGCCATCTTGGAAACTGGCCAAGAATATCTTCTACATGCCATACTGGATGATTTATGGGGAAGTGTTTGCAGACCAGATAGACCGTAAGCAAGTTTATGATTCTCATACACCAAAGTCAGGTATTTAACTTTGATTGAGTCATGTCTTTTCCAAGTCCATTTGTTTGTCTTCAATAAATGGCTCAAGATAGAGGACCGATTCCTAGTTTGCTATCTTGGTGGAAACAATCACTGAAGGTGAATATACTATTTTAGCAAGTAGCCATCAACTATTTCTTCAGGTATGTCCTTCCTATGATACAAACAGACATCTAGTAGACCAAAGTTGACACACACACAAAGAAATTAACCATTTTAAATGTTATAAATTTGTGTGTAACTCTGAAGGCCAATTTTTTCATATTTCATTACTGGGAATATATTATATCAAAACTACACACTCCTACCCTATGCCTCAGCTTGCTAGGCTTTGGAAAATAAATTCCTTGGGCTTGACTTTAGAACAAATAAACAATTCTCAATTTCATCGTTAGAATTCAAGATTAAGGGCAAACATCTGTATGGTATTTTCCTCATGCTAGAAACTATTCCCAAACAGCCTTTCTCATTGTTAAGTGCTATTGAGACAGAGATGAAGCCAGAATTCATTACCAAGAAGTATGGAAAATGCCCGTAGGTCATAGACTGAGTTGTTTGCTGTAAATGCCAGGGTGGAGGGTATCTGTATCATAAAGTGATTTAGTGTGGACCTAGAGCCAGCAGCCTCCAGTACCTTCAGACTACTATATACTAAATCTCCACGATAAACAACTCCTTTTGTGTGGAGTTGGAGGACAGTGTAATCCTGAAGTCTGTTCCAGGATTTTATCTAAACCAAATGTCAGGGCATACCAGGCATCAGGAAATGACTTGGGGAAAAAAAGCATCAGGGAAGAAGTGTGTTTCACTGTGGAGTTGAATCCCAGGAGCAGCTCTTTCTCATTTTCCCTGAGGACTTCAGCTCTGAAAATAACAACCCTCCAACACTGTTGAATTAACATTTTTCAGATTTTTTTTTCTGACAGGCCAGCCATCTGAGCCCTGGACTGGGAACACAGATTAGGGTCACATAACAGCATAGTTTAATAAGTGTGGGAGTAGAGTCTAGTCAGCACCTCACTGTCCCTCCTCATCCCAGGTAGGATGGGTCCTGGGAACACAAGAACAAAAAAAAAAAAAAAAAAAAAAAACACATCTGAGATCTGAGCTTGGAAGTTCTCGGGCCTGTGAAGAGCCTGTGTATCCTGGCAACAGAACACAGCAACACGTCATTTTCCCCTCCATGATAGATTTTGAACAAATACACTTCCCTTCTCAAAACACGTTATCTGAGGCTCTGAGGCAAGCAAGACTTTTTGGAACACCTAATTGGAACAAATATTTGTTCCATAAGACTTAGCCAACTCATGGAGGAAGAATTTTAGCTCCATCCTCCAGTTATAATATCTTTGGCTGACAATGCACAGCCTTCAGAAGGCAGTTTCCCAGGGACAGGAATTTCCTTTCAAATTGTCTCTACAGGCAAAACAACTCTTAAAAGTTTGTTATGATGCGTCTCCTCAGAGACTGAGCATGCTAGTCCACCCCACCCCCACCTCGGAAATTGCTTTTCCACTCTGTTTCATTATTTTGCCTTTTGAGGTTGTCCCTTTTTCTCCAAGAATGAGATGAAGACCATGTGGGCATTTGGAGAAATAAGGAGGGAGAAAGGGAGAGAGAGAGATAAAGAAAGGGAGGTACGGATGTGTTTTATAAATGGGATTCTGTGTGTCCCTCTACAAGTGGCCATTTATTGATGTTGTACTATGAACCCAGCCTAGTGCAACAAATACTACCATCTGCTGAATACGAGGACTTAGTATTGCTATTTTAAAAAGAAGGGCTGATTATAGTTTAGAACTTAAACTCTCCCCACCACCCCCTAAGACAGAATAGAGGTGTTTTGTGTGACTGCAGTATGAAAATAGACAAATTCCCCGCTCTGTGAATTGGATATGTAGCGCTCTATGTGTGTGAGGATAAATCTTGGCCGCAAATAACTGACCTAGCCTTAGATGGGTACAACTTTCTTGAGACCCTGCCCTCTCCCTCTGTGATCTTCTGAAGTTGGCTGTTCTAAGCTAAATCAGCCAGTTTTCTGTCTAGAGTGCTAAAGAGTATTTGTCCTTTCTCAAATGGACTTAGATGACTGTCCCCAAATCTCAAATAACACTCACCCAAGGTCACAGGACATCACTGTCCTATTGACTCAAATGCCTATACTATGGGCCCAGTGGATATTGGATGACTGCCCCCACCTGCATCTTCAGAACCGCCCTGGAGAACCAGTAAGGGACTGTTTGAGAAAGGTACAAATCATTGATGCTGCGCTGCAGTGTGTGGCCTTCTCTCTGTGCCGTGTCAAGGTTGGTGTGTAAAGCATGTATTCAGGCTGATCAGATCTCATATCCACCCGGACCCGCTGCCCTCCCACGGCCTACCAAGCCCATGCTGTGGATGTGCCCCGTGTGGCCCCTCCCCAGTGCTGCTCATCCACACACACTCCAGATGACTCATTCTAACGTGATGCACGTGCTGACTCCATATCTAACTCTGGTTGTTTTGACTTCTCCGTTGCTGGACCCATTTCATGTTGGGGGAAATTATCTCTTTCTTAACTGGGACTGGTTGATGTGAATATGCAATGGGGCCCCCAGAAGGTGTCACTCACACCCGTGTCACACCTCAGAATGGAGGACAGCTATAATGCCCTCACTTCTGGGAAGCAGTGTTAACTAACTGTAGCTTTTTGTTTTGAAATATATATTTTATCTATTTTCCTGTCATTTTAGACAGAGATTACCTAAAAATCCAAAGACTAAGGGATGAGACCTGTAAGGTTACTTTCCAAATGTGCTTAAAAACTTAAGAGGAAAAAAAATGGAATCACAATTTTTAAAATCACAAAATAACAAGTACATTCGCCGTGTAAGCCATCATGAACTAACACAAAGGATAGACCAACCTTGGTCTAAATTATCTGAGAGGACAGAGTTAGACTTCTGGCTTGGAAGCAGAAGAGTGCAAGAATGTGATTAGAAGTAGAGTATGATGAAAACCAAGAAGAGACCACAGGCATTTCAACCTGGATGTAGGGCTCCATGCTCTGCTTCTTCATGTAAACTGAACTTGCTGTTGCTGACTAGTTACTTTGGTCAGTTGGTATTTGGTTTTATTATACTTGTTTGTTGTTGTTGTTGTTGTTCAGATAATCAGTTATTGACGTTAAGTATTCACATTGCATGTATTACTTTGCTAAGCCCGGCTAAGGGCTACCATGGTGACTTGGACTCTGGGATGTTAAACATACCAACATACCAACCAGTGGTTGTAGCTCAATGGCAGAGCATTTGCCTTACCCACAGGATGCTCTGGGCTCTGGTGCCACAAAGTAATTAATTCATTCCATTACATTAAATACACCAATACCAACTACAACATTCTTCTGGGAGGTCTTATTAGGGTGACTCTTACTACATTGCCTCTGAGGGCTAGCCAGAACTGTACAGGTGCTTGGGTGGAAAATGCATTTAAAGGACAGAACAACAGAATAAATCAATTCCCAGCAGTATCCACACCAAGACTGGAGTAAAATTAAACCTGAATGGCTTTTCCTGTGCTCAGAGATTTGGTTTGGTGGGTTGGATGCCTAGAAGTTCACCTTGGTTAGCAGAAGAGACAGGGTATCTCCATGTGCTCTAGGCTCTTGCTGGATGGGACTGCTTCTTACTTACAGGAAGGCATTCTGCTGTATATTCACATTCCCCAGGATGCACCAAGGCAGGAGAGAAATGAATCATGCTCTTGAATGCATTAAATGCGGGTCTAAATTTAGGTCTCCTTTCTGCCTCTCTGGGTATTTTTACAAGTTTAGATAGTACTGTGAAAGCAGAATGCCCAGGACCTGCTTTCTACCATGACAGCTTAATATTACCTAGGCCTTTCCACTCTAAATTAAATATCGAGTCTTCTTAGTGGATGGGTCATTTTTTTGTCTTACTACCTGGGGATTTTTTGTTTGAAATGAATAGGTAATCTGAACAAGGAGGCTTTTGTTTTATTTTGTTTTGTTTTATTGTTTTGATTGATTGAGTGATTGAGTGATTGATTGATTGGTTGGTTGATTGATTGATTGAATACAACATTTTGCTATTAAAACAACCCTTGCTCTTTGGCATCCAGGTTGTCTTTGTGGTTTTGATTCAAACAAGGGTCTAGTATATGTATGGAAATCTCAAGTACTGTCCTGAATTTCTTTTCAGTCTCCAATTAATTGTTCCTCTACTTGGGTGTGGGAGTAAGACAGCTCAGGTGTCTGAACTACACTCGTGATGGTAGAGCGTGAAACATGCAGAGAGGAAGGATGGCAAGTGGTGTGCATCTCAGTCATTCCTGCCAGTTCTCAGAGCTCGACTGTCAGCTTCTGTTCGGTATTTCAGACTGACCTCTGATGGCTTCAGAGCACCCCGATGCCTAACGGCTAGAGCATGGGGTGCCTTGCCAACCAGGAAATGGACTCTGGGAAAGAAAAGCTTGGGCCAGTGCCCACTTTGGAGGCAAGGAGAATTGTTTCACTAGGTTTCATTAGGCTTCATAAGGAAGCTGGCCAATACAGGGCTGTCTCTGAAAAAGTCAGCTCACACCACAAAGAATGCCCACATGACTTGTTTGCTAATACAAACTTGGCCTTGTGAGATTTTGATAGAACAGAGGTGTCTCTGCATTAGGTCACTACTGGGATCTGTATGCATTCCACTATCATGATATGCACTGTAATTTACTCACAGGTTGTCCTCTACTTCGAGTCCATTCTTCATTCAATATATATATATATATATATATATATATATATATATCCTATGAGCTGAAAAGCAAAGCCTGGAGATAAACATAGAAGAGGCATTGCCTTCAAGAAGCTTACAGTTCATAAGGGGCAAGCTGCCATTGACAGCCTATGTATCGAGGCAAAGCTCAAAGAAGTCAGTCTGTTCCACTTGGATTAGCAGCATGGATGTAGTAGTTGAGGCCAAGCAGAGAAGAAG